GTAGGAACAGGAACTGACTCTCATAAGGTGGTCAGTTAGTTTTCAGGCCTGTGGGTAGATCTCTAAGCCCTCAGCTCTGAGGAGGCTCATGGAGGGGCTTCAGCTACAATCTGAAGGGTCTCATAGTTTGTCACCTTTCCTGATCTGGACTTCTGATGCACTTACTAATGCTATGTTATCAGGCATTCACCTCAGTGGGGTGAGCCTTTCAGCCCAGTGAGAGTGATTGCTTCCTAACACAGAGCTGAACCTCCAAGCAAACTCAGTTCTCCAGAGAAAGGACAGGCTGAGGGCTGCTTGCTGAGCAGGGCATGGGGACCAGAACTGCTGGACCGTGGGTATTGTGTTGGCACACCCCTCTCCTTTTGGTGCCTTTGCCTGCAGGCGTTGTCCTGCAGTCACACCTGCAGGCGTTCTGGTTTTTTGTGTGTTTTTTTTTTTTAACCCCAGAGGCATAGAGCATGAGCTCCATGGGGAAGACAGCTGTGCTGGAATGCCAGCTAGGCCCCTAGTTTCTTCAGCTATAAAATGGACATGATGCTAGTTACTCTTTGAGTTCTGGATAGACCACGTGAGACCAACAACATGACAGGTGTAGTCCTCAGAGCCCCACAGTGGCCACCGTACATCTTTCTGACAGGTGACAAGGTCCAAACCTCCTGAATGTCTGAGCTCTGGGCTCCTGGAACATGTGACCTGGCACTTGCAGCCGCCCTCAGCATGGCCATTCCCCAGGACATGTCCTTAAGCCTCCCTCAGAGGTACAGGTGTGAAGCCACCTGCCTGGCTACTTTCCCGCTTGCTGTGTAGCCCGAGGAAGTCATTTTTGTCTCCAGCCCCTCCCAGCATCTGTGTACCGTGGATGAACCCTGCCCTGATGTTGTGTCTCTGGCAGAAGCAGCAGCTAGCTTTGCGTGTGTCCCTTTAGGCCAGGGATCAAATCCTTGTCCTACCTGCTGTTTCCTGGCTCTACCTGAGTAGGCCTCTTGCTGTCCCTACCTGGCTGTTCCCAGGTAGGGACAGGAAACATACTGGAAGAGTTACATACACTGAGTATACAAAGGACCTGATCCAGAAAGTGCCCAAGTAAGCTGGATGGCATGGTCATGGCCAGTGGTGTGGGTCTGAACCTTCAGCTGGTCTGCCTCATACCTTGTGAGGGCTGGGTCTGGCAAATGGACAGCAGGAAGGGTGGTCAAGGCTATGGGTTGAAGGGATGGGTTTCCCTTCCCCCATTTGAGCTTAGTTTTCTTTCCTGAAATGCTAACTTGGCAATAGCGGGACTCAGGCTAACAGGCAGTGTTCCTGGGGAACTAAATCTGACTTCGAGAACACTTCACAGGCCCAAGACTTTACTTTCTGAAGTCTTAGTGCTCCCTCGCTGCCATGGCAACCAGGTACCTTGTACAGTCTCTAGCTGAGGCTGCCTGTATGGGCTATGGGCTTGAGTACCACCTGGGGCTGCTGGGAGGGCTTAGCATCTGTGATATCCACCTCATGCTGGAGCTAGAATGGAGGACTCTAATGCTTGGTGTTTTAATTTTCCCCCCTCTACTGGGGCTCATGGTATAAGAGCTGAACCAGGCCCTGGATCTGAGAAGTCTTGGATTCTCACCTCATACTGTCTATTTGGCTTTTCCCCTGTGCTGTGGTTTCCACCTCTAAAATGGGAAGGGTGCTCTCTCACTATGGACAGTATCAGCCTGAGATTTCTGTCATCTGGACTGCTCTGTCTCTGTTCTGGAAGCTTCTTTCCAAGGAAGGGCCAAGACTGAGTGAGCTTCCTTCTGGGTCCAGTAGCCCAGGTGGTCCTCTGACAGGTGTGGCTCTCAGACATCATCAGTTCTCGAGGTATACCAGGTGTTGTCCTCTGGCCTTACTCAGCTGCACCCCATCCCCTGTTAGCTGTTGCTGTTCTCCCAACCCACAGCCAGCTCACCCTGACAAGCTGGGGGTTCAGACCCTTTCTGAGGTGCAGTCCAGGGTCTAGTCCTGAGGGCCCTGTGTGTTCAGAGCTGTAGGGGCCCTGCAATGGGCCTGCTAGACCTAGTGACTCAGTGGCCCTGGTCAGCAGCACAGGCAGGTGTGCTGAGTTCCCTAAAGGTTTGGATCTTCCTGCCCCACAAAGTAAGACTGAGCCCCTGCATATGTAGAGAGAGGCCATGATGCTCCGAACTCCTCCGTGTCTGCCAAGGCCTCCTAAAGCAGAGGCAGCCAGTGTCTGACTGGACAACCCCCCCTCCCCTCCAGTGCTCTTCAGGGAGAGATGATAGGCCTGGAGTCCACAGTGGGCCCCTTGCTACTTGCTGTTCTGAGCTTGGCCTGCTGCTCCCTCTCTCTTTTAGCTGGGGACACACACTCTGCTGGACTGCTATCCTGAGAACATTGATCAGGTGACACTTATCCAGCCATGTTTTCTCTCACCATTTCAGGAGCTCTGGGCTATGCTCACAAGACAGTGACTTTGGGGGCAGCTCGCTCACAGGACTCTTTGACCCTCCAGCAACTGACCCGAGTGCAGTAGACACAGCTGCCAGCTTCATCCCAGGGCCCTGGGGGCCTTGCAAATGCGGGGGTGGGGTAGGGCCGGGGGAAGATCCTCCCTAAGGACACAGTCAACCATGTGGCATTCCTCCCTTAGCACTCAGAGGTTTCCTGGACGCCTGCCCCAGGCAGACAAACATTTTTGCTATATCAGCTGTTTACTGGGCCAGCTTACCCCCTCTTCTCCCTGGACTGCTTGAGTATTTCTGGAGCATGGTACTGCCTACATGGGCTGCCTGCTACAAAGTGGCCCATGGTGGCCTTAGTTTACATGGAGCCCTTTCCAACCTCAGAGGGACATGAGGACAGATCTCTTAGACTGTCTAGAGAAGCTCTTCTCTATTGCTTTCTAACCAGGCCTGGGGCAGCTCTGCCTTCTCCGGGTATCTGGTGCAAAGGTGCCCACACTCTGGGGTCTGTTCATTCCTGCTGTGGTTGATGGAAGGAAATGGATTTCACGGGGTGAGGGCCTGGGTGAGGGCCTCACAGCTAGAACAGTTCCCATCTGTGCAACAGGGTATCCGCTCCCCAGAGGAGGGCATGTGTGGCTCTCAGTGCCTGTCTGCACCCCCACCCCCATCCAGCTGGCAGAATGGCCTCCCTCAGGTGGGGGAAGGGTACAGGGATCACATGACACTTCCACAGGGCCCAGACCAGCTGCTGGGCTGTCAGCGGAGCCCAGAACTGAGGAAACCTTTGCTTTTTGAGCCCTGCTCAGAGATGGCTGCTGCTGCTTGCACCCAGCTCCTCTTGTAGGTTTGCCTGGCTAGGATACATCTCTGTCCAGCGGGCACCAGTAAGAACTTGTTGCAAGGCCTGGTGGTGTTGGCACTCACCTTTGATCTAGCACAAGGGAAGCAGAGGCAGGCAGATTTCTGTGAGTTCCTGGCCAGCATAGTCTACAGAGCGAGTTCCAGGACAGCCAGAGCTACACAGAGAAACCCTGTCTCAAAAAAAACAAACAACAAAAAAACCTGTTGTAAATTGGTGCTGTACTAGGCTCCTTGGGCTGAAATCCAGTGTTGTGTGGTGGGAAGAGAAGGGTCAAGTGTGAGACCTGACTCTGCTGCTTATGCTAGATGTGACCAAACTCCTTGGGAAAGGAAGACTCTTCCAGCCCCAACTTCCAAGAATCTCTGAGGTGGCACAGTGGGTGGTCCAGGACCACAGTCTCTGTTATCTCTTCTGAAAGACTTTCTAGATTTGGGTCAGAGGTTAGCTGATGACAATGCCACTGGTCTCTGAAGGGAAGGTCCCTGGGCTGTGGCCAGGATTGCTTAGGGTGCATGAGCCTTGTTACCCGCTGACTTTCAGGAAACAGGCTTGCCTTCTCTCCAGAGAAGGTGGACAGTCATGAGCCCAGTGTGGTGGCCATGGCTTTTCCCTTGGCTCAAAGCCCAGAGTAGGAAACAGATTTCCAAAAGTTGTTTCCAGGCCTCCCAGAGCCCTGTAAGGGTGGATGGCAGCCATGAGGGCCCAGACACAGCCCCACATCACACTGGCCTCTGGTTCAGGCTCCCAGCAAAGTGTCTACACAGGGGCTCCAGGTAGATAAGCACTGGATCCAAGTCCCCTGGCCCCACATTGATCCCCATGGTTCACACTGGGTGTAGGGGCAGTAGCCCTAGGCTGCGCTCATGCCTGCCACCCCAGCTCTGAGCTCTTGAGAGTTCGGTTTCTGTACCCTCCATTTCAGATACAGAGCCCTTCCCCAGATGGCAGCAGTAGGAGAGAGCCTGGGGTATCAGGGGAAGCAAATGTTTCCATTCTTCTCTAGGCTCTCAGAAGGAGCCACATGATCCCCCCTTCCTCAGCTAGGTCTCATGATTTGGGGTTCTGTGGAACCCCAGCATTGTTGCTGTTTCGCACTCACGTGAGGAAGTGCAGCCAGCTGGGAACCCCTGTGTTGCCCAAGAGGTCTGAGAAGCATGAATGAGAAGGGGAAGGAAGTGGCCACAGATGTGGCCGGTGTCGGCACCTGCCTCAACCCATGATGCTGTCCCCAGGGCTGCGCTAGAAGGAACTGCCTGATGCTGCTGGGTCAGCCTGGAGCCTCAGACTGGACAGAGAGTTGAGGGTGTGGGTGCCCCTGGGCTCTGGGGACTAGGTTTTTTTTCTGAGGGCCAGTGCTACCTGTGACCATGTTAGGACTTTAGGATAGGTACACAAGACAGTTTGACCTGTATAAGTTACTCCTGCCTCAACCTCCACTCACCTTTCTCCAAAATGACTGAATAACTACCTGTCTTAGAGGGACACCGTGTCGGACAGTCCAGTACCAGGCAGGAGCAGATTCCTCAGCTGTTGGCCTTTAGGTCATGAGGGGCCAGGTAGGAAGTAGAGTCCTGGGCTCTCCATTTTCTTCACACTGTATGTCTAGGAGCCACCTGTCTGTGCCATCCCCCTACAGCAGACCCCTGATGTCCTGGCCCCGCTTCTGGGCCCTGTCTTTTCAGAGCTCTACGCAGGAGATTGGGGAAGAGCTGATCAACGGGGTCATCTACTCCATCTCCCTGCGCAAGGTCCAGCTACACCAGGGAGCCACCAAGGGCCAGCGCTGGCTAGGGGTGAGTATGGAGAGGGGGCCAGGAGGGTGACCCTTTCAGAACTAGGCTGATCTTTCCTCCACTACTCCCTCCTCCAGCCCAAAGTCCAGCCCCCGCATGAAGGGCCTGCTGAGTTACCTTCATATGAGTGAGGGGAGTTACTGTTGACCTCATTTCTCATTTCCCATAAAGCCGTGCACACTGGAATATTTTGCTAGTTTAATACCTGTCCTCAGATGTCAGTCTTCCTTTATCTTCCTCCTAGCCTTACAAATCCTCTCATATAGTAGGGCTGCCCTTTGTAGGTCAAGCTTTGTAAACTGTCTTAGGGTTACTATTCATATGAAGAAACAGCATGACCAAAAGCAAGTTGGGAAGGAAAGGGTTTATTTGGATCACCCTTCTACATCCATAGTCCATCACCAAAGGAAGTCAGGGCAGAAACCCACAGGCAGGAGCTGATGCAGAGGCCATGGGAGAGTGCTGCTCACTGGCTTTGCTCCCCATGGTTTGCTCAGCCATGCTTACAGAACCCAGATCCGCCCTCCCCCACTGATCACTAATTAAGAAAATGCCCTACAGGCGTGTCCACAGCAGTCTTAATGGAGGCATTGTCTCATTTGGGGTTCCCTCTGCTCAGATGGCTCTAGCCTGTGTCAAGTTGACAAAATTAGCCAGCATTCTTGAATTCTCAGCAACTTGCTGTCTCAGAACACATCTCTTGGGCCCCTTGAGCTAAGAAGCTGAGCCTGAGCCTGGAGAGATGGCTCAGAGGTTAAGAGCACTGGCTGCTCTTCCAGAGGTCCTGAGTTCAATTCCCAGCACCCACACAACAGCTGGCAACTGTCTGAAACTCCAGATCCAGATCCTCACACAGACATATATGCAGGCAAAACCACTAATGCACATAAAATTTTAAAAAATTTTAATTTTTTTTTCTTTTTAAAGAAGAAGCTGAGCCTGACCCAGCCATGTAATATTTCAGAGGATAAACCTGTTGCCACAGCTGTCGCACTTAATGATTCTTCCCAGTGGTCATTAAGCTTGTTCAGGGAATGTCCTGGGTCCTGAAAGGCCAATGCCCTGACTCTGGAATAAGCCTCTGGGATGGGCTATTCGGTTTGGCACTCCCCAAAGTATGTTAGATACTGTTGTCACTCACTTAAGAGACCACCCTGAAGGGCTCCGAACCTCAAATTCCATTTTAAAATCTGAGAGCCTCCTGTCCCAGCCTGGGCCACGTTCTTCTGAGGGTGTGCACGAGCTGAGCCAAGCTCCAGCTTTCCTGAGACCATGTGCCTTCCCTTGTCCACCCAGTGTGAGAATGAGTCGGCCCTGAACCTGTACGAGACCTGCAAGGTGCGCACGGTGAAGGCTGGCACTCTGGAGAAGCTGGTGGAGCACCTGGTGCCCGCCTTCCAGGGCAGTGACCTTTCCTACGTCACCGTCTTCCTGTGCACCTACAGAGCCTTCACCACCACTCAGCAGGTGCTAGACCTGCTGTTCAAAAGGTGAGCACCACCTCCAGACTCAGGGGCCCCTTCATGCTGGCTGGGTGTTGAGAATGCCTGTGTCTCTGTGTGCCCCGGTTTAATGGTAAACATTCTTAAAGGCCATTGTCAGGACAAAACTGGATGGGCCCTGGCAGTGCCGCCCCAGCCAGGGCTGTCAAGGCCTGTGGGGTCTTATATGACTTTCCCTTCCTCCATGGAAAAGCTATCTCACTTGAGCCTCAGGCCAAATGGATTCCCCGAATAGAAAGGAGGCAACCTCAACCTACATACAATATACATAGAGCAGGGCCCTGTGTAATGGGCTGAGAGGGCCCAGGTCCACTGAGGCGTCTGCTGTGTGCAGCGATGCTGCCAGGCACTCAACTCTGCCAAGAGCAGGGTCCCTGCCTCCCTGGCTCCGTTCTCCTCAGGGAGTTGGCCAGTAACACTAGACATCATAAGCAGGTACGGTAGATGTGACGCCCTCACGGCCTCCTCTAGATATGGCTGCATCCTCCCGTACTCCAGTGAGGACGGCGGACCGCAGGACCAGCTCAAAAAGTAAGTGTGCTTTTATGGGTAACAAGGGAAGGTTTGGGGAACAGGGGTTCAGCAAACTGTAGGTCCCACACTTCTGGTTCCTGCTGGCAGGCTGAGGCCTAAGGCTTCTACAGCAGAGGAAGACAGAGTTTAGAGTGATACTGAGCCTTCAGGGAGCAGAGTAGAGGAGTGTGTGTGTGTGTGTGTATGTGTGTGTGTGTTGGGGGACCATTCAGAACCAGCCACTATGAGAATGGTCTGTGGGCCTGTCCTGTCCCAACAGACATGCAGCCTCACTCCTTGGTAATGGCATTTAGCTCCCAAGGCGTTCAAAGAACAAACCATGTCCTTCAGGAAAATACAACCCACACCTGGCTCACAAAGAACAAGTACTGAGGTAGCGACTGACTGAGATTCTTTGAATGCTCTCCCTAATTTCCAACCAGCAGAGTTAGACAGGAGTAGGAGTGTGTCCTTGAAGAGCCCGGAGGACTGCCACTCCATTGATGAGCCTTTGCATTCTCCTACAGGGATTCTCTGTAGTTTCTATCCAGTTACTTGGCCTGCCATAGCCTGGACAGCCAAAAGGGACCTGTGGAATGGACACAGCTCCCAGGGGTGCTATGGGAGGGTGGCAGGGGAAGCCATGGCTCTGACACTGTTGCCTGTCCCCAGTGCCATCTCCTCCATCCTGGGCACCTGGCTGGACCAATACTCAGAGGATTTCTGTCAACCTCCGGACTTTCCCTGCCTCAAGCAGCTGGTGGCTTACGTACAGCTCAACATGCCTGGTTCAGACCTGGAGCGCCGTGCTCACCTTCTCCTGGCCCAGCTGGAGGACCTGGAGCCCAGTGAGGTTGAGCCTGAGGGTGAGGAGCCAGGGGCAGCTACACAGAACCTGGCAGGAGGGGTCAGTATTAATCCCCACTACAAAGAGGCTCCAATGCAGGTGCTGGGCCAGGAGCAAGGAGCCTGGGACCCAGCAGGCAGTACACTGTAGTCTGGGATAACATCTTATTATGGGGGTAGGGGCTTGCTTCTCTGTCAGGCAGTGGTCCTCTGTCTTTGGAAATGCTATGGACAAGGCAGCCATGTTGGACATCTTATCTCCTGCAGCCCTGTCCCTAGCTCCAGTGTTGTCTCTGAAACCAGCCTCACAGCTCGAGCCAGCTCCCGAACTGCTTCTGGCACCGAGCCGAGCCGTGTCACCAGCACCGGAACCAGAGCCAGCAGCAGCCCCGGTACCAGTCCTGGCATCCAGCCCGGTGGTGGAACCTGCTCCAGAGCCACCTTCAGAGCCTGAACCTGAGCCATCCCTAGCCCTTGCTCCAGAGCTGGACCCCACTCTCCCGCAGACCCTCGAGCTCGAGGCAGCTCCTGCAGTAGAGCCTTCCTGGCCTTTGCCTGGAGCCACAGAGAATGGACTGGATGAGAAGCCTCACCTCCTGCTATTCCCTCCTGACCTAGTGGCTGAACAGTTTACACTGATGGACGCAGTGAGTAGTGGGGCAGGGCAAAGCCATCTTCCCTTTGTATTCTGCTGTCTAGACCTGTTTTCTGGTTCAGAGCCTATGTCCCAGGGCAAGTCCCAGCTCCACTGTTAACAGCTATGTAACTACGGCACACAGCTTAGCCCAGGAAGGCATTGATTCCCTGCTAGAAGGTGGTCACAGAGGGCAGAATTGAGGATTTGGAGCAGACAGAAAGTGTGATAGCCCTCTAGGGTTGGAGGAGTGCTCACCAAGGTGCTTTTAGGTCCCTGGGTCACCTTCCTCCATTCTGGCCTGGAGGCCTAGCTAACCTCAGCACTTATGGCGTGCTTACCGTGTGTGGGAAACTGTCAGACACAGGGCAAGGCTGTATAGCAGGTGTGCTTGCTGAGGAGAGCAGGCCTAAGCCGCTGGCATGTGCACTTCCCCTCTCCCCATCATTTTGCCTGGTTTACCATGCACTGGGTGCCCTCAGAGGTCAGGTGGAAGGGCGAGAGTGCCATAGGGCATAGCCACATCCTCACCCTCCAAGCTCCAGCTTCAGCATGTGGGCTGTGCAGGGTCCAGTAACACAAGTCCCCCTTCCTAGGAACTTTTCAAGAAAGTTGTGCCCTACCACTGCCTGGGCTCCATCTGGTCCCAGCGGGACAAGAAAGGCAAGGAGCATCTCGCACCCACCATCCGCGCCACTGTTGCCCAGTTCAACAACGTGGCCAACTGTGTCATCACTACCTGCCTTGGGGACCAGAGTATGAAGGCCACGGACAGGGCCCGGGTGGTGGAACACTGGATCGAGGTGGCCAGGGTAGGCTGCAGGAGGGGCCTGGGGACCTCTTCTCTTTCCTCACAGACCTCAGGGCCACATGGCCCATTGCCAGATGCACGCTCCCTCCTGCCACTCGGCTGTGCACTTGAGCTGCTTTGTGAGCGCTTGTCCCTGGCATGCCCCTGGGAGCTTCTGGCAGTAAGGAGGGGCTTAGCCCAGGGCTCCACTCATAGACTCCTCATCCCCAGGAGTGCAGAGTGCTCAAGAATTTCTCCTCCCTCTACGCCATCCTCTCTGCTCTTCAGAGCAATGCTATCCACCGCCTAAAGAAGACGTGGGAAGAGGTCTCCAGGTAGGCCTCCCCGTCCCCTCCCCTGCTAAATCCTTGGGTGGCTGTACCTTCGGTGAGCTCCAGCAGCAAAGTCCAAGGGGTGGGTCCACTGTTGGGCACAGCTCAGTTGCATACCCCGATTAGAGCCAGGTGAGGTTTCATGCTTGCACAGAGACACACAGCTGTCCAGCTGAAAGCAAAACACAGTTTTGCGGGCTGGAGAGATGGCTCAGTGGTTAAGAGCACTGACTGCTCTTCCAGAGGACCTGGGTTCAGTTCCCAGCACCCAGATGGCAGTTCACAACTGTCTGTAGCTCCGAGATCTGACACCCTCACACAGACACACATGCAGGCTAAACCCAATGCACATAAAAGAACATAAATAAATTATTGAAACAAACAAACAAAAATGTTTTGCCTACTCCAGTAGCCTTCAGTGGAACCATGTTTAAAGCATTCTTCTCCGGCAGCATAGAATCTTTGTTCTAAAAGAAAGTGGGTTCCCCTTCATGGCTGCCCCAACGCACACCCTTTCTAACTGTTGCCTTCACTCTGCATTCCCTTCAGGGACAGTTTTCGAGTGTTCCAGAAGCTGTCGGAGATTTTCTCTGATGAGAACAACTATTCCCTGAGCAGAGAGCTACTCATCAAGGTAAGGTGGAAGCCACATTGATGGAGAAAGAGGGGGAACAGGAGACTGCAGGGTGGCAGGTAGTTCTTCACTGACAGTTTTTGGCAAACTTCCAGTCCTGTCAAGGCAGGCCAAAGGGAGGAAAGATGTCTTTGGCCCTTGAGTAGGTGGCAGGCACTTGGAGGAACAGGAGACCCCTGGTAATCTGACGTAGCGGGGGGGCAGCCAGGCAGGCTGCTGCAGGGGGATGAGCTGGCTCGATTAGCAGGTCTGCAACTTCCTGCTGGAATTTAGCCACTGGCAGGTGGATGGAAGGGGGTGCAACTTCCCCGGGCCAGCCCTCTCTGTCTCTGTGATGCCAGGCTCTTCCCAGGGGAGAGACTGTCTGGGATGGGGACCATTCTCCTTTCAAAAATCTTGTCCCAAGGGGCAGATATGCCTGCATAGGTGGAGCTGCTGACCAGCATGAGAAACTGAGAAAGGGTGGCAGGTTGCCTTGTCCCTTGAAGCTACAAGATGCCCAGGCAGCTTAGACATATCAAGGACTGATTAACTCATTTTTCTATCTCACCCTAGAAAATTCCACATCCTAACTCAGAATGGCTTGGGGGAAAAAAGGCAGCATTATCAGTGGGCCCTGCCCCTGCCACACTGGTCAGGCTGAGATGGCCCTGTAGAGCCCTGAGAGAACAAAGGCAGAGGACTCTGCTGAGGCCCTGTGTAGCTGGGAAGCTTTGGTCCCAGGCCCAAGGAGCTTGAGACACCTTGTCCGTCCCTCTCCTGTTATGACTGAGCTCAGTTAGAGATCCTGCCACAGCCCACATGCTGACAGAGGCCAGGACTCCAGTCAGTAGGCTGCGCTCCTGAGTCCCTGTGGGGCTCTAAGCAAGTCACTGCCAGTCTCCAGGCCTTCGTTTTCTTGTCTGGAAAAGGGAGGGCACTGAGCTCACAGGAAGAGGTGAGGTCTCTGTAGGAGGTCACTGGGGTTTGGCTGCAGGAAGAGTCAGGAAGGCACTGGGACCAGATGTTGAGCCCTTCTGTCCCCCGGAGGCAGGTACAGGGTCCTCTGAGCTTCGAAGGTGAGGATTTAGGTGAGGAAGGCTGGCCCTCCTTCCCTCTCCCCCCAACTGAGTGTTAGAAGACTGATCTAGAAGCGTTAAATGTGGCAGCAGTCATGTTGACCCAGCCAATGCAAGGACCCCCCAGGCCCAGGGTCAGAGTGCAGGTCAGGATCAAGTGAGGAGGGAAATCTCACTGGCTTCCCCTTCAACCCTGGCAGGAAGGTACCTCCAAGTTTGCCACACTGGAAATGAACCCTCGGAGAGCCCAGAGGCGGCAGAAGGACACAGTGAGTGACCTGGGGCCGGGACAGGAAGAGGTTCCCTTGGCCCTTATCTCCTGTGGCACGGTGACCAGCTACATCTTGGGGGACAAGAAAAAGCTGCACCATCAGAGTCTGGGCCTGGCAGAGCTCTTTGGGGAGGGTATGAACAAGGACCACATAATGTTGACCTGCCAAATGGCAGCCTGGGATGGGACCTGGGAGAGAGGGGTCAAGGGTTCTTGGGTTGCTCCAAGTGGAAGGCCCTGGTGGAGCTAGGGCAGGTGAGTATGGGAGAGGGGCCCTGAGCCTTGCTGATTTCCCACCTGATGTCCCAGGGTGTCATCCAGGGCACTGTCCCCTACTTGGGCACATTCCTCACTGACCTGGTGATGCTGGACACTGCCATGAAGGACTATCTGTATGTGAGTGAACCTGGACCTGAGGTGGGGGTCTGAGGGTGGGGTTCATAGGTCTGGGAGAACAGAGCCTCCTATTAACCCCCTGAGCTCTGAGGTTGCCTCCCTAGTGGCTCCTCCTCCCCTCAGAGCTGACAGCAGAGCTGAGTAGGTTGGCCAAACTAGACATGCATGACCCTCAGATGGTGGCTCTAGGCAAGAGAATGAAGCTTGGCACTCCAAGGTTAGACAGCCCGTGGGCCAAGCAGGGCCTTCTGACTCAGAATGGCTTGGACAGGAATGTCTCCAAACCTTGATGCTAGTGCCTAGAGCCAGGTGTGGTTTCCCTGCCCCCTAGCGGGTGTGTGTGGTAGTACAGAAGAAGGTAGGCAAGACTGATGGTGGAAGACGTCCTTTCTTACGGACATTGGCTGTTTGTCTTCTAGGGGAGACTTATCAACTTCGAAAAGAGAAGGAAGGTGAGGAGCTGCCACCCTCGGGGGAGGGGAACATGGACTGGGCAAGGCATTAGGTCCATCCTTCTGTTGATTTATGGTGACATCTGCTACACCCTGTAAGGACTGTTCCACAGACGATAGGGGTTGACATCCAGGACAGCTTCCTGTGTGGAAGTCTAAACAGTGGCTGTTTGGACTATGAAAACAGGAAGGAGAGGATAGAGAGATGGCTCAGAGGTTAAGAACACTGGCTGTTCTTCCAAAGGTCCTGAATTCAATTCCCAGCAACCACACGGTGGCTCACAACCATCTATAGTGAGATGTGGTGCCCTCTTTAGGTGTGCTGTATAAATAGTAAATAAATAAATCTTTAAAAAATAAAAAGAAAGGAAAGAAAACAGGATGGCTCTGAGTGGGTTTAAGTGGGGGAGTAAAGATCCAGAGGCCAGCCCGTGCTGGACCCTCCTGAGCCCATCACCACCCTCTTTTCTCTTGATGCAGGAGTTTGAAGTCATCGCCCAGATCAAGCTGCTGCAGTCGGCCTGCAACAATTACAGCATTGCTCCCAAGGAGCACTTCGGAGCCTGGTTCCGAGCCATGGACCGGCTTAGTGAGGCTGAGAGGTGAGGCTGCAGGCCCAGGGTCATCATGTCACACTATAGTCTGGTGATGGTGGTGTACCCAGGCTCCGCCTTCTGGGATAGCCCTGGACGGGAGCTCTCGGTAGCCTCACAACCACCTCTGCCTTAGCTACAACCTGTCGTGTGAGCTGGAGCCCCCATCTGAGTCAGCCAGCAACACTCTGAGGAGCAAGAAAAGCACAGCCATTGTCAAGCGCTGGAGCGAGTAAGTGCCTGGGCCCAGGTGCACACGGGGACCAGAGGAGCCACAGGGCTGGGGCCAGGAGAACCAGCCATGCTAGTGCTGTGTCTTACCCTAATACTGGGCAGCCTCTGTCAGTCACAGAGAAAGTTGAATCAGCTCTCTGGACCTCAGTTTCCACCTCTGTGAAATGGGCTAGAAACTGAGATATCCAGGGAAAACAGGACTGATGGGCGGAGACTCAGGACAGTTAAGGATGGTGTCCCTGGGAAGACCGCTAGAGTAAGCCAACCTCGTCATCCAGCCGACAGGCTCCCAGCACCGAACTCAGTACCAGTAGCAGTGCCCACTCCAAGTCCTGTGACCAGCTTCGCTGCGGCCCCTACCTCGGCAGCGGGGACATCGCCGACGCACTCAGTGTGCACTCGGCCGGTTCTTCCAGCTCTGACGTGGAAGAGATCAACATGAGCTTTGTCCCAGAGTCTCCTGATGGCCAGGAAAAGAAGGTGACCACCCATTCTCCCCGCTCTTGCCCCTTCCCATTGGTACATCCCACCCTATGTCCAACAGGGCCCTAGAAGTCCCCAAAGCTGGCTGCCAGCCTTCTGGGCCCTTCACCGTCCAGTCCGCTGGTGACATTGCTGTTGCCCACAGTTCTGGGAGTCAGCCTCCCAGTCGTCCCCAGAGACCTCCGGCATCAGCTCAGCCTCCAGCAGCACCTCTTCCTCGTCGGCCTCCACCACGCCCGTGTCGACCACCCGCACCCACAAGCGCTCCGTCTCAGGGGTGTGCAGCTATAGCTCCTCGCTGCCACTCTACAACCAGCAGGTGGGCGACTGCTGCATCATCCGGGTGAGCCTCGATGTGGACAACGGCAACATGTACAAGAGCATCCTGGTGAGCGTGAGGCGGGGCATCCCTGTGGGCCCCACTTGGTCAGCCGGCAGGCATGCACAGATGCATCTGTGCCGTCTTCGACCTCCTTGACACTGGCCTTGTAGGTTTAAAAGAATAGTGAGAAGTGACTGGAGACCTTGGTCAACAATCAGGCCTGAGAGGAGGGAGAGGCGCAGTATGCCCAAGCCCTAGGAAACTGTGGCCTCTGTAGGGCGTTAGGCTGAGACAGAGGGACAGGGACTAAGGGAGAAGCAGTCAGGGCCCCACTGAACTGCAGAACCCTTGGCTTTCTCTTGGAGGCTGAAACAGAGGGCAGTGATGATGTGGTGTGTCCATGGAGATGAGCTGCTGACCAAGATGGAGGCAGACTGTTCCGGAGGCTGCTGTTGCCATTCAAGCTGGGGGAGAGGGGTGTGAAGCAGGATAGTGTCAAGGTGTGGATGTCTACTGAACATGGAGCCAAGAGGATCTGCTCCACGATTGTGGGTGGCCACACAGGGAGGACCTTTCTCACCTGCCAGGGCTCCAGCTGCAGATGGCCCTACCCTGGGCCAGCTACCCTGCCATATTCCACCCCAGTGGAGCTTCAGCCCCTCTGTGCCAGGAGCTGGAATGGCTCTTATTCGTTCACCTGGGTGACCCCATGACTAAGTCCCCTGAGCTGCCTACCATCACAGCCTCAGGACCAGGCTAGACATAGGTGGCCAGTGGGCATTGGCTGTTTCCTCCTTGGGGTTGGAGTGGAACTTATTGGTTCCCCAGGCTTGTTGATCTTCTTGCCTTCAGGGACACAGCTCCCTGTGGGAGTTGGTGGCAGGCTGTTCTGGACAATGGGCCTGGAGACAGTGGGAAACAGCCTCATGCTGTGGAGGCAGAAGGTCTCTGTATCCTGTTGGAAGCACTTGTGACCCTTGTCCTGATAGCCTGGCCCCATTCCAATTCAGGTAACCAGCCAGGATAAGGCCCCAACCGTCATCCGAAAAGCCATGGACAAACACAACCTAGATGAGGACGAGCCAGAGGACTACGAGCTGGTGCAGATCATCTCAGAGGATCACAGTAAGTCAGACAGTCAGACTCAGGCCAGTGGCAAAGCAGCAGGCCAGCACCATCCTCTGCCCCAGGTCCAGTGCCCAAGGCCCTAGAAAGCACAGTAGCCGGTGTGGACGTGGTGCCCACAGCAACCTGCCTCGGGGCAGCCCTTGACACCCCGCGTTTCCTCCTGCCCCAGCATCTGCAGGGCCTCCCCATCCAGGATGCATGAGTTGAAGAGAGAGGCTCATTCATGGACCTGCTTAAGGGGACATTATCTGGTTAAAATAAGAAAGCAGGTACTTCAGGAAGATTTTCACATGTTAAAATCCACACATGAGGGGCTGGAAGATGGCTGCTCTTCAGGGGACCTGGGATCCATTCCCAACACCACATGGCAGCTCATAACTGTCTGTAACTCCAGTTTCAGGGAATCTGACACCCTCACAGACATATGTGGGCAAAACATCAATGTACATAAAATGAAAATAAGTCTTTTTTAAAAATCCACACGTGAGACAAAAACAAACACACTGAGTTAGTGTTCTAGAAACCAGAAGGAAGGAAGCAAACCACGACTGGGCTGGAAGGATGGCTCAAAGATTAGAAGAACCTGCTGCTCTTCCAGAGGACCTGAGTTCAGTTCCTAGCACCCACATGATAGTTCCCAATCACCTATAATCCCAATTCCCAGAGACCTAGTGCCTGCTTCTGATCTTCGTGGGTACCAGGCTTTAGTGTGCTGCTCTTGCAGAGGACCTGAGTTCGGTTCCCAGCACACGAGCTGCCTGACAGTCTCCTATAACTCCAGCTGTAGGGGATCTAAGACCTTGGAGAATTCCAGGCATTCTGCCTATGCCCCTTTCCCCTAAAGGAGGCTCTGGCCAGCAGGTCAGTGCTAAAGAGAAATCACTGCAGAGGTCACGTGTGTGTGTGTGTGTTGTCATCACATTGCTGATGTGAGCCCAACACCCACATCCCACCATTTGCCCCAGTAACAGTGAGCTCCATGCTGTCTAGAATTGTGTATTACAAACCTTCTCTTAGCAACTTACACCATTTTGGTTATGTGGGCAGGGTGAGGGGCCTTTCAAGAAGCAGGCCAACAGAGGCTCAAAACAGGGTCAGTCAGCAGGAGCAGCAAGTTAGCTTGGTAATGATGGACAGATTCTAAGCGGGAGGAGACTGGTCCTTAGAGCCTCTGTGAGCAGTAGGGGAGCAGCAGGAAGGCAGCCCAAATTCCAGGACACGTGTTCTGCCTGGAAGTCCCGCCTAGCAGAGATAGCCATATGGGTGGGATAGGGGACTCTTGGCTAGAGTCAGTGAGTTTCCTTCAACTCTCAGCATCGTCTGTCCTCCACTGGGAATCACAGGAGCTTTTTCCTTAATGGTGGAGCTGGAGAGCTTGGTGTGTCCTGGCCTGAAGGTGTATCTCAAGTGGGGGGTCTCCCAGCCCCAATAGCACCACTGATTGTCCCCCTGCCCTTCTCTTGCCAGAGCTGAAGATTCCAGAAAACGCCAACGTGTTCTATGCCATGAACTCTACTGCCAACTACGATTTTATCCTAAAGAAGCGGACCTTCACTAAGGGGACTAAGGTCAAGCATGGAGCCAGCTCCACCCTCCCTCGAATGAAGCAGAAGGGACTCAAGATTGCCAAAGGCATCTTCTAAGGATGACTCCCAGGCTTCGGCTGGCTGGGGACTAAGCACTTACAGACTAGAGTGGCCCAGGCCACACAGGTACCTCTGCCCACCTGCCAGCCAAGGCTACCCCCAGACTCCAGCTCACCCTAACCTCTCCTGCTGCCGGGATTGACCCCTGCCACTGACAGGCTGACCTGGCCTCCAGGGACACTCGCCGCCTTAGGTGCCTTCTGCTCTCTGGAACCAGAGGACTAGCTGACTTTTGCCAAGGGGTGCTGCCAACGGGCATGGTACCCTGCCTGCCCTGGACACTGCCCTCCACACTTTCCTGACACCTCCCCCAGGTGCAGACACTGCCACCCATGCCCCCGGATGCTCCAGGGCATACACACACACACACAGCAGGGCTGACGACTGCGTTCTCTCCTGTGCCCACAGGCACTGGCCTGGGACCCTCATGGAAGTCCCTGCCTTTCTTCCCACACTCTAGCCTTTCTCAGGCTGCACCAAAGATTCCACCTTCAGGGCCTACAGAGTGAGGGAGTCTCGCTCGCCACACGCTCCAGCCCTCCCCTGGATCAGAAAGGGAAGCCCTCTCCTGGACCACCTGGGTGGCACCGACTCTCATGCCACTGAAGTGCCATTCAGCACCACTGCATCCTGGGTTGCACAAGACTGCATGAACGGGAGGCTGGGGGGGAGGAGATTTTCGTGGAGGAGGAACACGGCTGAATATTTGTATAAAAAGTAAAAAAGTTTACTGATTGGGGTGGGGCAATATTTATTTGTTGTAAATAGAAAATGCTAGACTTGAATATTATATTAAAATCCTGTTTCTACTACTGTCTGGTCACAATGGTTTTGTTCTTTTTATTCCCTTTTTGTACTAGCAGGGTGCTCTGGCTCAGCTTGGCAGAGGATTCTCAGCGGATCTCATGCAGGCATAGAAGAGCCACCAGTTGCCCTTCCCAGGCATGCTGAAGGAGACACATCTGCCACACGTGCGGCAGACCCATTAGCTGGGTGCTGTGGTGTGCGCTGACAGCGTGGCACTCCTGGGGTGTTCTCAAAGCGTGGTACAGCCTTTGGGTTGTTGGCTCCAGGGTGCAGTCTCTGGAGGGATGGGAGATTGGGGGGCTGGAGAGATGGCCCTACAGCTAAGAGCACACACCTGGGGAGGTTCAGTGAAGTGTGTGAAGGGCAGTGCCCAGAGGCAGGCTTCTGCTCTTGGAGAGGACATGGGTTTGGTTCCCAGGACCCATATCAGGCAGCTCAACCACTAATGATTCCAGCTCCAGGGGATCTGACACTATTTCTCCTCAGGCCTTCTCAGGCACTGTAACACGTGTAACACACATGCAGCAAACACTCATACACATTTAGTAGGTAGATAGATGGATGGATGGATGGATAGATGGAGATGGATGGGTGGGTGGGTGGATGGAGGGGTGAATGGATGGATAGCAGATTTTGAGTCAGCAAGATGGCTCAGCAGGTAAAAGAATTTGTCACTAAGCCGGACAACTCCTGGGACAAACATGGTGGTGAAAAATCTAATTTCTATATGTTGTCCTCTGATCTTCACACACACAATGTGCTCATACATGTACACACACAGTAGTTTTTAGGAAGAAATAGGGTCTGGAGAGAGATCTGTTGTTAAAAGTACTTGTTTGTTGGTCTTGTAGAGGGTGCAGATCTGGTTCCACATAGCAGCTCGCCACCTGTATTTTCTAGGAATCCTGGTGCCATCTTCTGGCTTCCAGACATGTGACACACAAACACATGTAGGTAAAGCCTCATATGCACAAAAATAAAGCAGTCTTTAAAAACACCCAGGCTATGGGTGCTGGAGGCATATCCTGTGTGCCATGGGGAAAGCCATGGGTCTGATGCTCTGTACCGCAGAAGAAAAGTCGGAATGATTGCTGACATGAACCTATGGCCTCCACTTGCATGCACCCACACATGAAAATAAAATATGTAACAGAGATAAATGGAGTAGGGAACAGCGTTCTTTGAAAAGACGAACAAAGTTGACAAACCTTTCGTTACATCAGCAAAGAAAAAGGACCCAACTCACTCAAATTTAAAAGGGGCCGCATTGCTACCAACATGGCAACAATCAAAAGGGCACTCGGCATCCGAATGCCAGCAACAGATGGGTGTGCTGAGCCAGGAGCAGGACTGGAGAACACGGACAGACATTGCGAGTGTTGGCCATCACTCTACTCACAAAAAGCATGTGGGACAGGCAGAAGCTCACACAGCAGGTCCCCGGGAGCTGGGGAAGGGAAGTAGAGCCTGGCGTTCAGTGGGTCCAGTTTCGGTCCTGGGCGATGACAGAGTTTTGGAAATAGGTAACGGTGATGGAAGTGTAACACTAATTCTCCTGAAAAGAGTTCAATTAGCCCAAGGCATGTATTTTGTCAACCTTGTGAAGAGGCATTTTTCATTGTTGTGGGGTTGTGTGCATGTGTGGAGGTCAGAGGACAACTCCATGGAGTTGGTTCTCTCCTTCCGCCTTTGTGAATTCTGGGGCTTGAACTCAGAAAGCCAGTGCCTTTACCTGCTCAGCCAGCTTGCTGACCTATTTGTCACGGTTTTAAGACCTTTACACTTGCAGGCTGAGCACAGCGTCACACCCCTGTGATCCCAGCACTTAGTAGGCTGAGGAGGAAGATTATGACTTGGAGGCTAGACTAAGATAACAAAACTCTGATTTAAAATATAATTATTTCAGCTGGGGGTGGTGGCGCATGTCTGTAATCCCAGGACTTGGGAAGGCAGAGGCAGATGTATCACTGTGAGTTAGAGGCCAGCTTGGTCTACAAAGTGAGTCCAGGACAGCCAAGGCTATATAGAGAAAACAGTCTCCGAAAACCAAATGTGTGTGTGTGTGTGTGTACGTAATTATTGAATGAAAATATTGAATGAAAATTCAATATAAGTAATTATTCTAAGCTCTAGTTCCTGGTCCCAGCTTCCTGGAAATCTGATGTCAGAGGAGCCCAGCTTTGAGATCAGCGTGGGCAATACTGCAAGACCTAGGTTCCAAACAAAAGCCACTTGCAAGGATGGTTTCCTGACCAAGAAGCCATCCCACAGCTGTGAAGAAAGTGGAGAATTTGAAACTTGCCTCGATATTTCTTTGATCACAGTTTTGGGACATGTAAACTTAAAAGTCATTTGTCTTCAAAAATCTGAGAAGGAAGAGGATTACCTGCAGACTGGTGTGACCCTGGCCAACCCCTTTCTTATGGAGGCACTCCTGAAAGCTTTGCCTGGCCTCAGGGTTCCATCTGCTGCACCATGTCTGGGAAAGCCAAAGTGCAGTGCTTAAAGCTGTAGTGTGCTTCTGCCCACTGGCATTCCTGCGGCCTGCGAACCAGGTCCCAGCTTCCTCTACCTGCCCACGCCTCAGATGGCCCTGCTTCTCTGTCACACATGCTAGCCAGGTCTGAAGGATGTCCCTGGTAGATGGGATCTTGCAGGATTCCTTTGCTTCCTGCCTGCAAGAGCCCCCTTCTCCCGTGTTCAACATCTCTGGTGCTATGTGTTTGCTCCTGTCTAACCTAAAGACAGTCCTTTGACTTCTGCAGCCTGGGGATAGGAAGGGATGGACCAAGTGCCTGTCACTACTGACTGAGGGTTGTTCCTTCCTCCAGGCTCTTTCAGGAACAAAGACCAAATACCAGGTGGGCAAAGCTGAGGCTTTATTAAGAGAGAGCTAATAAGAGGAGGACCCCGGGACCAAGGCTTACAAGACATTAGAAGCCAATGACTGCAGGCATCTGAGCCTCCACAGAGTCACCCATTGAGGGCACAGGGGCAGCCTGGGAGTCATCCACAGGGGGCACAGGGGCAGCCTGGGAATCATCCACAGGGGGCACAGGGGCAGCCTGGGAGTCATCCACAGGGGGCACAGGGGCAGCCTCTGAGTCGTCCTCAGGGGGAGTGAGGGTGTCCTGGTCACCGGACACTGTGGGCAGCACCTCAAATGTCACAGCCCAGTATTTCAGGAACGTGTCCCTCATGTGCTCTTTCATGGAAGTGCTGGTTATCTTCTTAGTGATCTCCAGGTAGTTGCCGCCCTCCAAAGTGTAAGGGTACCAGTGCGTGGGCACAGGTGAATTGCCCATGTTGGGGTCCCTGCAGAAAGAGAAGACACTGAGTAGGGGTCCAGCACTGCAAGGGGCCTGGAGACCTGTCACTCCCAGACAGCTGCTGACAGATTGCCCATCCAAGCCAATCTTGTGATGCTCAGTCATGATGAGCATGTTCTTGGCCCTGGGGCTGAGTCAGCAGCTCTTCTGCTCATGTGCAAACTAGCTACCACGGCTTGAGGATAAGAAGTTTGCTTAAGTGAGAGAACAGGCTAGAGACCAGGCCTGTAGGGTCACAGTGGCAGAGGAGCCCTCAACCTACTGCCTTTGGTTCTGGGCTCAACTGCATATCTTACCCACTCCTGGCAAAGTTGGTCCAGTAGGCAATCATGGCCTTGGAGACAGTCTTGTCTTGGGCCCGGTAGCCCAGTGGGGTGGCGAAGGGCTTTCCGAACACATACTGGATGTCATCAGCGTGGTCAGCCCCCATCCATTTTGGGTAGATAGGCATCCGCGAGGGGTGGGAAAACAGGTAGGAGTAGGTCTTGGCACTCCTGAGGAGAACAGAGGCAGCTGGGCTGGGAGGGGGTTCCCTTGGGTGGTAGGCCCCGGGGAGAGAGGGAAGAGGAACAGAGCAAGGTCTGGAGGACCCCCAAGACTCACAAAAAACTGAGGTTGGTTTGTTTGCGATAGGGCCTCTTTGTGGAGCCTTGGCTAGCCTGGAGCTCACTATGTAAACCAGACTAGCCTTGAACTCACAGAGATCTGCCTCCTGGGTGCTGGCATTAAGAGTGTGTGCCACCACCATTGGGGGCTGGAGAGATGGCTCAGAGGTCAAGAGCACTGGCTGCTCTTCCAGAGTTCCTGAGTTCAATTCCCAGCACCCACATGGTGGCTCACAACCATGTATAATGAGATCTGGTGCCCTCTTCAGGTGTGCTGGTGTACATGCAGACAGAACATCGTAGACATAATAAATAAATTAAAAAAAAAAAAAGTGTGCCACCATGCCCAGCTCTGAACTGGATAATGAGGGAAAGAAAAGCTGCAGCCCCCACGCAATGTTCATGTCTCCACTCTACAAAATATTTGGAGGCCTTCTCTTCTCATAATTCAGGGTCAAGGATTTTTTTCCTCCATCTGAATTCATATTTCTCACATGATTAGATAAGGTATATTGCCTCTATTAACCTTTTAACCTTGACTGATGTGAAATCCAGAGCTAAATTCATTGTTTAGTTAGCCAAGTGGTCTTGGCAGAAAGCTGCAGCAGCTCAGACAGTCCTCTCAGGAACCTCCCCCACCAACTCCTTCCCAGAACCTCACTTGGCATGGGCCCTGTGCTGGGCCAGAGCCATCTCCGTGGGGATCAGGAAGAGGATGTCAGTCTCAAGGGCTACCACTGTCTTCTTCTTGGTCTCCTGGGATGAGTCCCCGGCCCAGGATTCAGTGTAGATGTCAAAGGTTGTTTGGGCACCCTTAAGCCCCTTGCTGACAGTGTATCCACTGACGAGCCTGTAGAAGTCCTCTCTGCATGGGGATGGAGGAAAGAGATACTGGACCTGCCCTTGGTGCTGACTGGAGCATGTCTGCCCGCCCTCACCCCAACACAGCACCCTGGGCCCCTGCTGCTCATGTGGTCCCACCAACAAGGCCTATTCTTCTCTAGCTGTTATCAGCTACATGCTCTCCTCATGGGGCCCCTGCTCACTCTGTGACATCCTGTTTGGTCTTGTCAACAGCAGGTACATCAACAGTAGCAAATAGGTGGCCATCCATGTCATTAATGCCTGCTAAGTAGTCGATGTCAGCAGCGTTGGCATACAGGTTGATGGGGTCATCTGGGATGAAGTCTCCATCGATGACAGGGATGAAGCCCAGATAGTATAAAATGGGGTCTGAGTAAGAGAGCCAACAGGTTCTTATACCTTCAAATGCCTGCCTCCTCTTGGCCTTTTGTGCTAGATCTGACCTCTTTCTTCCCTTTTCTGACCAGAGCAGGGTTCTTCAACCCCAGGGACCTTTTGCCACAATCATCTTGTGTCCCTAGCCTAACGTGTCAGATGTTAGTGGCAGCCTTCTCTGGTTGTGAGATGCAGAAGCATTCCCAGACTCTGTCTCATGACCACGAGAAGAGTCCACTACTCCACAGGCCAGGGCTTCAGCACACCTGTCCCCTCCTTCTTTCCTTGTTGAACCTCCACCAGGGACAAGGGTCTAACCTGCTGGCCATGGTGTGTGAGGCTTGCCTGCTCTCCAGGCTTGCCAACAGGCCTGAGCACTGGCTCAGCAGGCAGAGACCCTTGTCCTTAGGCCTGGCACAGCCAGGCTTTCTCAGTGGCTCTCTAAACAAGAGTCAGATTGAGTGGCAGAGGTAGAGCTTTTGAATGTCACGCACAGTCTCTGAGTTTGATCTGTGGTATAGAAAGAAGAAAGAAAAACGGAAGGTGCAGACACTCAGACCACTGGATTTGCTTTGGAAGGCTAAGCAAAGAAGAACGTCAGAATTTTCTAAGCGGACAGGCTGTTTCTTCATGTTTGCTGGTGGCAGCTCCAGCTGGAAGGACCAAACACCACAGGACGTATTGGGAAATTTACAAATGATTGCCAGATTTACAAGGAAGGTTAAGAGCTGTCATCCAGCATAGTGGCCCTGGGTCTGGGTCCACACCTCTCCCTGAAACTGTGTATGGGTGTCTGCTGTTTGGGACTACCTGCCTTCAAAGCTTGCTTCCTTCCTTCCTTTCTTTTAGACAGTGAGTCTCACTATGCAGCCCTGGCTGGCTTCTCACTGTTTACAACAGGTTGGCTTTGAACCCACAGAAATTTGTCTGCTTCTCCCTTCCAAGCGCTGGGATTAAAGGTGTGCGCCACCATACCTGGGTATGTTTGGCCTCTTAAAGTCTCTGGAGAACTGGAAGCCTCTCCCACCCCCCCCCACCCCACCTTTTTTTTTTTTTTTTTTTTTTTTTTTTTACCATTGGGGCCTGCTAGGGGGCAGTGGCAGGACGTTGGGGACGAGCCCAGTCTGGCACCTCTCTGTCTCCTCCAGGAGCTCAGCCTTGCCCCACAAGGCCTCCAATCATCTCCAGTCTACATGCTTCCCTCCCAGCAGCACCCACTCACACTCCTGGCTTTTCAAGGGCAACTTGTAGGCCATTGTCAAGGCCCGGGGATCTGTGATCTTCAGACACCTAGCCATCTTGCCAGTATCCTCTGTGGGGCATCCCACCTTCTCAGCAATCTAGGGGAAGGCAGAGGATGACGTTAGAGGAGGGGCAAACAAAAGGTCCAGGGCAGCATGGAAATGGGAAAGGTCCCATCTTGCCTACTCCTGTCCTATTGTGCTTACCTTTTTGGCCCAGAAAAGTGGATTCTTCTGGATGGCCCAGGGGCTCAGTGCCACACCACTCTGACTGATGGCTCGTCGGATGAGGCCCTTGTTGTATGGCGAGAGGGTCTGCAACACCCAGAAGTTCTATCAACGTGCTGCACCTGGGGCCAGGGCTCCCGGCCAAACCCTGCTTTGACCATTATCCTAGGGTCCATTGGCTCCCTCCTTTAATCTTGGGGTCAGACTCCACATCAGAGGGCCCCAGACCTGCAGAGAGACACTGGCACCTCCAGCAGACTCCCCAAAGATGGTGATGTTATCGGGGTCACCCCCAAAGGCTGCAATGTTCCTCTTCACCCAGGCGATAGCCATGTGCTGATCTCGAAGGCCAAAGTTACCTGGGGGTAAGAATAGCCTTCAGCAGGAGGGCCCGCAACTAGAGTTAGAGGAAGCTAGAGATGAGTGACCTAGGGCATATACAGAGGGTGGCTGAGGGAACCAGCCCTAGCTGCACTGACACCCTGAGAGAGCCCAGAAGGACAAATAGTGGATCTCCAGGGGGTGAGCTTAAAAGGGAGCAGCAGGAGTGGAGATACAGGGAGTAAAGCCCGCAGTGGCTCTGCTTGACTTCTTCCTGCATGTTTCCTCCTACTGTTTGTCTGTCCTTTGGCTTCTGTGTCTACCCGACTCTACCTCAGCTTTCCTACCTTGTTCTCCAGGACTCAACTTGGGTCTCTGTCATTCTGTCTGTCCCTTGTCTTCTCTCATTTCCTAATGGCTGCCTCGTGCTCCCACATCCCACAGTTCGGCTCCAGTACGCTGACTCTGTGAAGAAGGTTCCAGGCCTTCCCACGGCTGTCAGGGTAGAGGCTGCAGAAGCGCATTTGTCTGCTGAGCTCAGGGTTCATGGGGCCCAGCATATTCACTCTTCTGCTCTTAGCATACCTGGAAGGTTGGCGTCCCCGGTGCTAAGGAAACCCAAGGGTCCGACACGGTAGTTGAAGGTGACCACGATGACGTTGCCCCGAGTGGCAATCTCCTCCCCGTCATACAGATAGTTTTTGAGGAAATTGGCCCCATGGCCAGACCCCATAAGGAAGGCGCCTCCATAGATCCAGACCATCACAGGCAGGTTATGAGACACTGAAAGGGGCAGACAAGGACTTCAGACACCAGCAGGCTCTCTCGCCAGCCAGCTCACTAACCCTGCTGGAGCAGGTGCTCAGCCCAGGCTTCGAGGATAAGCAGTGGGTACCGCCTCCTTGCCTCAGCACTGATTTCAGCTTGCTAGCACCAAATACAATCCTGACCAGGGCCTGGAGCTCTGGTGTGGGGGTAGGGCGGGGTCCTCTGGGAAACTAGGATCCTGACCTTGCCTCCTACTCTGGGGCACCCAGATGTTGAGGTAAAGGCAGTCTTCTTGCCCATAGGTGTTGTCCTGGGTGATGGTGGCTTGCAGACATCGTTTCTTGAAGTCCTTGGCCTTCAGAGTCCCTGCAGTAAGAGAAGGGGCAGGTGTGAAGAGGCATAGCCAGGGCCAGCCCCATCAGGCCCAACCAGCACCCGGCACCCACCAGGGCCAGCGCAGCACACAGCTCCCACCTTGCCAGCCAGGGTGATGCTGGGGATTCTCTAGGGTCTTGGCAGTGGCAAAGGGGATGCCCTTGAAGATGTCAACAGAGTCACCACCCAAGAGACTGAGCTTCTTGTTGACACCCTCCACAAAACCGCCTTCTGTGTACACAGTGCCCAACTGCAGGGGAGACACGGCAAGGTCAGATGAGTCTGAGCACGGCTAGCCAGAGTGCCTGACTGCACAGTCTCCCGGGTGCCAGCAGGGCCCCCGCCAAGTGCTGCAGGGGCTGGTTTGCTTTCCTCCTGAACCCTGGCACATCCTCCTGCCACTCTCTGAAGCCACTTTAACCTATACTCTGCTCAGGTGGGGTGAAGGTCGAGGTCTTGGCTGAGACCTGGAGCCTCACTTTCCCTATAATAAGATGGGACACAGCAGTTTCTCCCCAAGGCTTGACGGCTGTCAGAGGGAAGGCCTGCCTGACTCCACACTAGTGGTGGAGGCTCAGTGCTCCCAGAATGTTTCTAAATAGCCATGAGTTTCCGGCGTCTGACCCTCCTCCCCTCACCTCTTCCCACTGCCTAGCTGGCTGGGGCAAGGAGATGTTGGCCCCATGTCCAACTCCTCACAGGGCCTGCTCCTCGGTGTTCAGCCTTAACCAGAGCCGTGGAGGCAGGTACTCCCTGCAAACTGACTTCTCCCACTGGAAGTCATTCTTCTGACACAAGGGTGTCTAACCGCTCTGCCACTTCCTATTCTTCCCATTCCGCTTGCATCAGTCCAGGACACAGTCAAGAGTGGTTCTGTGTACCTGGCAGTGGTGATAGTGTAGCCTCCTGCCTCCCCTGTGAGAGGTTTTAAGCAGAGGGAAGTAGAAAGTGGCCCATGGCTGCAGGCCCAAGCTGGGATATCAGCTTGAAGTCCAGGCTGATGGACCCTGTACTGTAGTGTACTGGCTGAGGAAACCGGAGAGAAGAGCGGAGCCTGGGAGACTACACAGATAGTTGGGGCACCTGACGGTCCTTGCTTCTCCCCTCCCCCACCCCCACCCCCCGGCTACTGGGAGGAGTCAGAAACCCGGATGTCACCTCTCAGAAGTGTGTCTGCATGGTTGCAGTAGACCTCAGTGCCTCAGGTGGGGGCCAGATGCAGGGATCCTGGCCAGTGGCAGGATAGGGGTGCTGGATGGCAGTGGAGCGGTGGGGAGATAGTCCAGGTCCTTCTAACACTCTAAAAGAACTCCCCCAGGAAAGAAAATGACTTTCTTTCCATGGCAAGATCCTCAGACCAGCACCCCGACATCCAGACTCCAAGGGAAAAGGGAAGACTGTCTCCAGGGCCAAAAACAGCAAGACAAGGACTGGAGCATGAATGGGTTGGAGAGCAATGTGGAAGGAGCTTGGTGCCTGTGTGGGGACCTTTGCCGTGTTCCTGCATCTGTTGAGCTTTCTGTGATTTGTCCTCACATCCCCCGAGAAGGACTGTTAAAGGGCAGACTTTACAGGTACCCCAGAGGAGCTGTGCAGCCCACTCAGGGCACCTGGGGAGGAGCCTTGCACACAGCAGGTAGGTTTCACCCCTTCTGAAGAGGAGCAGGAAATGGAGGTTGCTCGGAGCCAGGCCCCTGATTTGGAAGAAGGTTCAGATTCCTGTTCAAGAACAGGATGTGGTTGCTGTGTAAGCAGGCAAGCTGCTTCTCTGTGGGGAGCCACCTCTAAAGGGGCAAAAGCCAGGGGCTGCAGGTAGGCTTGCCAGATGTAGGCACACCTGAAACCACAGAGCAAGAGTGGGCTTTTTAGTATGAATGTTTCAAATAAGGACATCCAATAGGGTATGGGACATCTTTACACTCAAGACTGCCTCCTGGTGTATGAGAGTCCAGTATAATTTTGCATGCTGGGCTCCATGTGAACAAGAAGGCTAGGTGTGTCCAAGGCAGGACCAGAGCTTGGAGTGCTGTTGGGCTTGCTGGCCTCTTACTCCTCTTTCTGTGCTCTATCTGTCCTCCTCCATCCTGCAGGCCTGTCCCCAGTTTCCAGATCTTCATGAATGAGAGAGGGCCATCGCAGTCCCCTGCAGGACCCTGGCTTACCTTTGCAGCATAAGCTGCTGCCAAGCAGCAGGTGAGGCCAAGAAACAGAACCTCCAGGCGCCCCATAGCGAGTGTCTGCCTCTAGGAGGCCTCCTCTCGACTTCTCTGGTATTTATGGGGCTGGAGCCAAGGTCATGTGCACGGATACCATGTATACACAGACACACAGATGTGGGGTGGCCCGTTTTTCCCAGATCAGGCTGACCCTGTGCATCCTGAGCGGTGGCCACAGTATATCTGTGTGGGTTACTGCCTACCTGGGAGCACAGGCAGGTGGCATGGATGCTGTGGGGGAGGGTTCCATAGCCAACCCTCGCTGGGTGCCTTGCATCCTGTCATAAGTGTTTAGTGTCACCTTCAGAAAAATGGGTGTGCTTCGTCCTGAGGTGCTGAATGCTCCTTACCTTAGTGGGGGATCCATAAGGGACTCCTGAACCAGAGGTGGCTGTGTACTACCGGGCACTGGGTGAACCTTGGTAACTCTGAGAGCTTGCACTATGTATGGGATAGTGCAGGCTGAGCTGGGTGCAGGAGGCAGAGGCTGGGAGAGGAGGACAAGACGCTCTGGGTGGAGATGGTGGCACAGATGGAAAGGAGCTTGCAGAGCAAAACCCAGCCTGGCTCACTTACCAGGGCTTGGTGGCACCTTCACATAAAGGGTCATGTTTCACCTCTGTGCCTCACCAAGGGAGAGGGTTCCCTGTGGTGCATAAGCAAGGATTCTGGGGCACACCTAGGCAGAAAGAGACAAAGCGTGGGAAGAGCAGACACAATGAGGAAGGGAGAGGGAAAGTCCTGGGCTTGGAGGCGAAGGCCACCATCCCGCAGATGTGTACCTTGGCTACCAGGAAAAGGTTATCATGGCAACAGATCATAAACCAAGTATTAAGAGGTGCCCTTAAAGGAGCTCAGCTGCCTTGGGACTGCCTTTTATGATAGACACCAGGAGGGCACTGCAGTTGGTCAGGCATAGCCAGTCTCTCCAGGCCAGTAGCCCTTTCCCTCTGGGAGCTCAAGTCCCCAGCTCAGATCACTGCTACACTGTGTCAGAGCTTGCGGGACCTACAGATCCACACCCACAGCGTGTCCATGTGCTCTCTCTGCCCAATCCAGTGCGGAGTAGGTGTGCAGATGAGAGCGGTGGGGCGGCAGGAAGCTGGGACAGAGCAGAGGTGGGGTCTTGGGGTGACATGTTGAGTCTTGTGCCAGCTGATTCTGAGAACTGGTGCTAAAGAATGCAGTTCTGTAGTGAGGAGTGCCAGGTTGGGCAATGCAGGTAGCTGAGGAGGAAAAGAGGACAGGAGGGAAGAAGGGACAGAGGAAAGAGGCCTCTTTGTATGTAGCTTTTAGAATAGTTAAGTTGTTCACAGCAACACTGATCAGGAAGGAGAGGCCCCATGTCCACTTCCCCACCACTGGGGTGACCTATCTCTACAGTGACAGACCCACAATGACACATCTCTGTCACAGCCCAGTGGTGCTGGCTGCTGCTGACACTGGATATACTTATGGAGATTCTAGGATCACAACAGGATGCTCAAAGTCCACAGTCTTCCCAAATGCCTGGGCTGAAAGCATCGAAGTGAACTGACAGAGAGGACCACATAGAAAACTAACCCCACTGACATAAACACACTGGGACTTAGACAAGTAATTTTAAAAGAGGGGTCAATTTTTTTTTGGGGGGGGGTGGAAAGCAGGTAAAACAGAACTGCAGCCACAACTTCTGCCAGATCTGCTGTGGCCACTCCCCAGCTGTGTGGCCCAGGCCCGTTTCTCCAGAGAATCTGTGTGAGGCTTGCAGAACTCACCCCAAGCACAGAGAACAGAGGCTAAATGACCCAAAGCAGTCTTAGGATTTTCTCGTGTCACTTTGTCCATTTATCAACTGTTAAACGTGTTACTTCAATGACTTGTTCTTTTAAATCATGTGTATATGTATATGCCTGTGTGGAGTATGTACATGAGTGTAGGTGGCTCCAGGGGCCAGCGGGCTGCTGGAAGAAAATTGGAAATTGTGTTTGGTATGGTAATCAACTTCATGTGTTGACTAACATGGAACCCAGATATTTGGTCAAGGTGGGCATAATGGTACATGTCTTCAAACCCAGCAAACCGCTCCCCTCCCCACACCTCAGGGAGGTGGAGGCAGAAGGATCTTCATGAGTTTAACACTAGCCTGGTCTACACAGCGAGTTCCAGGATAATCAGGGCCACATAGAGTACCTGTCTCAAAAGAGAGTAACAGCCAACAAGAACCCCTAAAGCATTTGGTCATACATTACAAATGTTTCTGTTAGGCTGTTTGTTTTCAGTTTATTTACTTTACATCCCTAGGGTCCCCCCTTCCCCTCTGTATCAACCCTCCCCAGCACATCAAGACTGAGCATCTTTGAGACCAGGCAAGGCAGTGCTGCCAGGGGGAAGTGATCAAAAAGCAGACAATATAGTCCATGATAGAAACAGGGACCCCACCTCCACTTGCCAGGTACCCCGTATGAAGACCAAGCTGTCCATTGGCCCCATGTGTAGGGAGCAGAGGCTGTTTTTTAATTCAAATGCTTTCAAATCAATAGGTGGGCTTCACACAGTGTGTTACAGGGCTGAGATGGAGGGCAGGGATGGTGGTGGTGGACATGTGGCCAGCATGCTACCTTTGACTCCACCCCACACCATGCCCTGAAGACCGAGCACCTATACCTTCACTGTGAACCAACTACTTGCAATTAATCCTAACTGCTCTGCTGCTCTGGAGAATCTTGGCTAGTAAGTATCACACAGTGCTGCAGTTCTGTTGGGGACAAGTATGATCTTTCCTTAAACTCACCCAGCAAAACACAAATATGCAATAAGACTCAGTAATATGAAATCTGCTGCCAGTAACCAGCTGCATGAAACACCAGTGTCTGCTTCTGAGGGACTTTTACACTTTTTGTACTAAAAGCCACTTTTATTTACATGGGAGTTCAGGAGAATAACTTTAGCAAATGTGGCTAGACCAAGTCCTTCCAGTCTGGTCAACCTAAGGCATGGCTGCCACTTCCCTGGGCACTGTGTAGGTAAAGCCTCCAAAGGGCCCTCACTCAGCACCTTCTTCAGGTCTACAGAGTCAAGGCATACTGGGTAGATGGTATCAGAACCTAGAACCCCTTCCTCCTCAAGGACCAGGATGGGAATGGGTAGCAGCTAAAAGTGGGAAAGCTCCCAGCTGAGGTGTCCTGGTAGCTGCTATGACAGAAGTCCTGTGGGGAACAGGCAAGGTCTGGCTAGCCTTTGGGGAAGAACTACTTCCTGCCTCTGGGCTGAGCTTTCTTCGAAGCAGCAGGAAGCAGGGTCAGCAGGGGACACAGGGTCTGTTCTGCTGATTCCCTGTAAGGCTATGAAGTTCCTAGGAGTGCCCACTTGGGCCAAATGAAACAATGTGTCCTCAGTTGTGTCAGGAGGATGCACTGGCTCAAGGCATTTGACTTTGGAATTGATGTGACTTGATCGTGTGCATGCGCGTGCGCCAGGCTGTTCAAGGCAGAGAGGCCACACAGAGAAACAAAACAATGGCCCATCTCTCGATCAGCACCCTTCAGGAAGTGCTGCTGCCACCCTGGGGGCTTGGGAGGCCATGCATGGGAGACCTTCCAGGGAGGCCAGCTCGGCAGGGACATGACAGTCTCTAGTTGCACAACAGGAAGTTGTGAGACAACAGGATGTGTTCAGGGAACTGAAGAGCTGGTCCACTTGGTGAACAGGCTGAGCCTAGCCTGGGGTTGCCCAGTGTCCTCATCTCACCGACCTGGACCGGGGCACAGGCCTGTCCCAACTGTCCAATCATGGCATATCAGCATGTCCTGAATGAGTGAAGGAACAAATAAGATTCCAGAGAGCCTCAGGCAAGAGGAAACACTCCTAATTCTAACCCCCCATGCTGAGACATCCAGTCACTCAGGGAAATTAATAGGACAATTCTGGCTGATCCTAGCTTCTACTAACGTTACCCCAGACAGATGACATCCAAGCCCAAAAACAGTCTGGCCACCTGCAATTACAGACCAGGCTCCTCAGGCCATCTCTGTCAACTGATTCACAAGACATCTGCCCAAGATGGGTGTCGCAAGCTTTACCATATTGACCTCTGGCTTTTGCTAGTCTTGGATCATCTGCATGGCAATAGGGTCACCCTCAACCACCCAGGGCAGAAGGCAGTACTGAGCAGAAGGGCACAGGTAGAGCCAAGACCTGTTGTGAGAACAGCAGCTTTCTTCTGAGGTGCTCTAGGGCCATCCCACTACCCTGCCTTTGCTGGGCTTCTCTGTGAGGACAGCTGCCAGTCTCACCTGGTTGCCTGGGACCAGAGCTTCATCACACATAATCCAGAATCTCTGTCTCCATCTCATTTTCACTTCCATCTGAGGGCTTGAAATCCTCCTCTTCCTCCTCCTCCTCCTCTTCCTCCTCTCCAGACTCAAACATTAGCTGCTCTTTGCCACGGTCAGCCTTACCTGTGTTGGAGAAGAGAGCTGCGCAAGAAGGACAAAAATAGGCTGTGTCCCAATGCAAGATTCCTTGGTAGTCCTAGAGCCCACTTACTATGACAGGCAGTTGGCTCAAGCAATGAAAAAGCTACTATGGAAAGTATGAGGGTGGGGACCCATGAGTGTGGGCTGAAGCCTAAGAAGGTATATTTGAATCCAATTTCTATTGAGAGGGTACACACCAGTACTCCCAGAAAACGATGATAGCCTTGACTGGACTCCTAAGAGGTTGAGCCCACGTCTCAAACATAGCCAGAAAGCCTGCTCTGCTCAGATGCCTGCTACCCAACTCAAAAGGAGTCTTTTGTAAAAGCTTTTCACTGCTCTTTGGGTCCCTTTATAGACCAACCCCTGCCCCCAAGCCCTGCAAGCGCCTCACTTCCTACTACCTCAGGGGCTAGTCTTGGCTTTGTTTTGAGCAAGGACCTGAGGAATACAGTCAAGGCCATGGGACATACAGCTCCATGGGAGGATATGGGCAGAGCCGTGCTGTACTGGGAGGCTGCATCCTTTCCCTCTTGTCTGCTCAGTCAGTGTCACACAGCGAGTCCTAGCTCACATGCCTCCCTCCCACCACAGCCAGCATGAGGCTCTCTGGAGCTTCTGTCAGCAGGTGTGAGGCCACCCTGCACACGTGGCTCTCACCAGGCCTCTCAGAGCGGATGGTCTGCAGAATCATTCGTGACATGGTGTCCCTCAGGTGATCTGTGGTCTTGGGTAGGCACCACCCATCTCTCTCTGTGCACAAACTCTCTGTCCCATCGTTGCGGTGAACAATTTTCTGCAACCTGTGGGCAGAGAAAGCTGTGTGGACACAGTCTGGGGGCAGAGTGCTATGGTGGGGAGCTTATGAAGAACCCCAGGGTATGACTCCATGTGTGGTGGCTCATGGGATAGAGTTCTAGCAGAGCTCTGTGGGCACAGGGTTTGTGAGAACAGGATGCCAGTGGGGGTTTCTTACATGCTCTGTGTGAGAAACAGTGCACAGAATACTCAAAGGTGTTGTGTAATAAAGAGCTTGCAGGGACAAATGGTCCCAGCTGGGTTCCTTAACTTTTGCTGTCTCTGAAGAGCTATCCTGACCACCCCCCCCCAAAAAAAAACAAACCCGAAACTGTACAAAGCTGGGTGTATACCCAGACACACTTTTCTGTTAACAGTCAGGCTTTCCCTAGGTTCCACTGCTGCCTTGTTCCCTTATGTACTATTGCTCCACTCTTGGTGTCTTCTAAATGTGGTTGAGAACAAATGGGCTGAAGATGTCCAGGATCAGGAGCCATGTCAATCAAGGAGACTCTCAGGCAAAGACTCCAGCTCCCTGCTTGTAAGCAAGCAGGGCTGCTCTCTACAGGGCACAGTGCAGTCTGTGCTTGCTGCCAACGGCCTTATAGCCCCACACAGCCGGACCCAGTGCAGCACCCAAATCCCAGTGGTCAAGTCTCCCTTAAGGCTCGGCTGCAGGAAAAGCTGCAGAGAATACCGGTCCTGAGCGAGTTCTAGCCTAGAGTTCCACAGGCCATCAGTGGCATAGGACCCCTCATACATACTCCTCTACATTCAAATCACACAGCTGGTAGAACATCTGTCGATACGGTGGCAGAGCCCCTTCCCGGAAGATGTAGACAGAATCCTGCAAAAAAGAGGGAAGAGAGGGCTGGAGAGATGGCTCAGAGGTTAAGAGCACTGGCTGCTCTTCCAGAGGTCCTGAGTTCAATTCCCAGCAACCACATGGTGGCTTACAACCATCTATAATAAGATCCAGTGTCTTCTTCTAGCGTGCAAGTCTATATGCAGATAGAACATTGTATACATAATAAATAAATAAAATTAAATTAAAAAAAAAAAGAGGGAAGAGAAGGGGGTGATTACACAGTACCCCAGGTCTAACAATTCTGGGGACACCCATGCTGTGGCTTTCATGGAAGTCTAAGGAGTTGGCTTATCCCCAGGCCCAGGGTGGCCAGCAGATGTGGAGAGAAGCTTTCACTCCCCAGGAGGTGCTGGGTGGAGGCCATCAGGCCCTTCTCAGACCCCTGGGAATCCTGCCAATTTACAGCTTGGGGCCACCACCAGCCTGCACTGGGCTCTGCCTTCTGTGCCTTCCAAAAGGAGTAGGTCTATTCTTCCCCAGCTGTTTCTAATCAGGCACTCTGTGCATCTCTGCATGCTCCCTCGTCCACTTTTGGGGGAGGAGGGCAGTGTTCAGTGAGTATCATTTCCATTTTTTTCTACTTGGAATATAGCCCTAGAGTCAAAAGCAAGGCCCCAAGACATTGGTGGTGAAGGCATGATGGCACTAGGGGATAGCTGTCTCCTTTAAGTCACCTGTCTGTTGAACTTAAATTTTCTGCCACAGCTTCTTGAGTGGGGACTCTGGGATAGAAAACACACTAGCTTGGTCTCTCCCAGGACTATGGAGAGATCATGGCAAGTGGGAGTATGCTAACCACTGCTGGGTGATGCTGATGAAAATGTGAGACCTCCATCTGGGTGCATCTCATCACCCATGTCAACCCACAGCTGAGTCCCAGATGTTCTGGTCTGGCCTGTGCTCATGTCTTTGTCTGACTTCCATCATTTCAGCAGCAGTTCCAGGCCTCAGGGGAACCAGGCTCACCAGGACAGCCACACACATCTGCTGTCACATTTCCCTCTCCAGGACTTGCCACCACCTCTGCCCAGATGGTCCTAGTTCTCCATGGCCTTTGGCAGATGGTACCCCAAATTCCCACTTGGTTTCTGGAGGGGTCTAAAGTGCTACTAATGCAAAGGCACTGGGCAGGCAGAGTGTCTCTTGTCTTGGCCTGGAGTGATGGCTCAGTGGTTAAGAGCTCTGCTCTTCCAGAGGTCTAGAGTTCAAGTCCCAGCAACCACATGGTGGCTCACAACCATCTATACCTTCTACTGCCCTCTTCTGGCATGCAGGTATACATGCAGACAGAGCACTTTACAAATAAATAAATAAATAAATAAATAAATAAATAAATAAATAAATAAATAAATAAATAAATAAATAAGTAAGTAAATAAGTAAATGAGTAAGTAAGTAAGTAAGTAAGTAAGTAAGTAAGTAAGTAAGTAAGTAAGTAAGTAAGTAACAAGAAGTGTCTTAGGTGAGAAATGTGTAGATTATAAGAATGTAAAGCTTTTGTCCCATTTTATTTCTCCATCTACTGGATGCATTTACAGAAGGCACATAACAGGACTTTGTGGAAAGAAACAGAAAGCAACAAAAGCCATTAAGAGAGCTCAAAAAATGGGGTTTATGCCAGTTACACACAAGGATCCTGTGTATCTCGAAGACCCTAAAGTTTGTAGTATCAGGAATACCAGGAATAAATTTTGTAAAGTTGGAACCTTAGGGCACTCACCTTGAGCTTGTACTTATTGTAGGTCAATTTCCGTGGGCCGTCTGTCCCTGATGGGCCCAGGCCCTGCTTCAGGTCATGCATAGTGACAAGCTGGTTAGCTGCATGGGAGCAAGGCAGTGCTTTGGTATACTTGGAGTGGAATCACCCTGCCTGACCTTTGGCACCTGTCTGTAAGGAATGGCCAACAGACTTCCCACCTTGTTGTCCAAATGCCCACCTCCCTTGCATGTCCTGATGCGGACGATCCAGCCACTTACACGTCTTCTTGACGGTGATGGGGAGGCTGTAGTTGTATGTGCTGCGCTTTGCTTTGACAGGCATGTCCCTGGAGCCATAACCTACATGCAAAGGCCGCATGTCAGGAGAGAAGTAGGTGGCAAACCCAAGTGGGTGACAGCAGGGGTGACACAGTCCTTGCTTATTAATCAGAGGGCCACAGAAGAGCTGGAGAAGAGCTGGCACTTCCATTTCCAAGCTCCTTCATGCTGCTCCATAGACTCTCAGGGGTGGGGTGCTGAGGGCACAGAGATGTTTCTAGTCTCTCCATAACAAGAGTTTCTCTCTCTCTTTCTCTCCCTGCCTGGTTCTGCCTTGTGAATGTTGGAATTAAAGGTGTGTGCTACCATGTCCTGCTGGGAATAGGCTCTTAAAAAAAAGTATGTGTATGTATATATCTAGAATTAAAAATTATATGTGTCAGTACGTAAGTGCATATCCCTATAGAGACCAGAGGCATTGTATTCTCTAAGTGTAGTTACAGATGGTTGTGAGTTGTATGACATGAGTGATGGGAATTAAACAAGGGTTTTCTGCAAGCATATGTGCTCCTGCTGAGCCATCCCTATTCAGCCCCAGCATAAAAGACAGTGCTAGAAATAGTAGCTGCAGAGATGGCTGTGCAAACATGAGGATTCTCATTAGGATCCCAGCATCTCCACAGCATGCTGGGCATGCTGCATGCATGTCTTTCCACCCAAGCTCTGGGTGTGCTTGTATGTGCATGCGACTTAGACATTATTGCTGGGGCTTGCAGGCTTCCAGCTGAGAAAATGTGAGCCCCAGGTTCATTAAAAGATTCTGCCTCAAAGAACTAGGTAAAAAGTGACACAGGATACTGACCCTTGTGACTGGCTTCCAAATATGTACACAGGAGTGTTCACCTACACGCACACATGCAGACACATCTCAAACACACAGATACATACACATAAATCTTTTTCTTTTTTTTTTTTTAAGGAAGAGTGCTAGGATTGGGGGACAAAGGTAGAAACTATATTTATTTTTACCGTATTTCATGCCACATCGGATTCGAAAGTCAAGGACTTGATAAATCTTGGCATCTGGGTTTTTTCGAGGGTCATAGCCAAATCGAATCCACAAGCTTCTCCATGGGCCTGTTATCTGGAGACCCAAACCGTACTGAGTGTAAGGTAATGCCAAGGGTCCTCTAGTACCCTGGGGTGGGACCAAGCCCTACAGTAAGGCAGCAGGACCCCCTGAACTCTAAGAACATAGCTTTAGACCCCCAAGACTCTTTGACAAGGTTCTATGAGGATAAAGTGAGATCAGGAGTTTCTACCAAGGCATAATGTGACAACTGTCTTAGTGCACTGATTTCTGTCCTTGAATAGCACTACAGCTGGACTTAGAAGTCATGCTCAGGGAGAAAATGTGGCTTTCCAGGCTGGAGTCCAACAGTGGCCCTGCCCATCAACAACCTTTGAGGTCATGTTTTATGTTGGCTCTCCTTGGCAGGTAGGACCCCCTTTCTTCAGAACTTTTAGGAACCTCTGTACCACTCCCACCCCCACCTCTATCTTCTCCTGGGAGGAATCAAGGGTGGACTTCTTCTACTAAGCCCCACTCAATATGGGGCATTGAGGTGAGAGGTACTGTCACTAAGGGGCCTCGGCTAGCTAGCGCTAGCCTCAGGTAGCGCTAACACTCATTGGCTGCAGAACCAAGACATGGCATGTCAACTCTCTGAATCCAGCTTTTCCTCAGAGATAAAAAGGGATTCTTACTGTCACCTGCAGGAGGAATAAAGGCAGGGATACAAAGCCTCATCCAGTGCCAGGCCCTCAGGAATTTCTCACTATAAGTTCACTATGCAAAGAATGCTTACCTATGAATTAGGTAATGCTCCTTCATTTAAAGTCATCTGCTCATATCCAGAAACATTATTAGAAGGGTCTGGTGGACCTGGGGGCTTTGAAATCTTTTAGCTGTTTCTTTTTTTATGTGTATGGGTCTCACTGTGTGTGTGCACATGTGTGGGTATGCATGTCTGTGTGTGTGTGCGCATGCATGTATCAAATACCAGAGGCTGTGGTGTTGTCTCCATCACTCTTCACCTACTCAGTGTTGGGGTTAAGGGCACATGCCACCATGTGGCTGCTGGAGACCCTAAACCCTATGCAGCAAGTCCTTTACCCACTGAGCCATCTCCCCAGCTCTGTAACCAGTTGTCTCAGAGTGCCAGGTGACAGGAATGCTAGGAGGTATGTCTGCCTTCTGTTAGGGCCATGACTCTAAAATGTCACATCAGGAATCAAGGACCACACTGGTGGGAACCAAGGTGAGCATGAGACCAGCTGCCACTTACCATGTAATAAGCCATATAGGGAAGCAAGATCTTAAGCTTGTCAGGGTGGACACTGACGTTTGACTTGACAGCATTTCGTGACCAGATGGGGCGGATGTCAAAGAGCTGGGGAAAGTCATGGACAGAGTCTGAGATGAACACTACAGCTGCTGGTCCTCTCACATTAGCTGTCCCTGTGTGTCTGGCCCCCAGTGGGAGAGCACAAAGACTCAATAAGCCTCTGGAACTCGCCATACCTACTAGTAATTTGTAACCCCTCCCTCCCTAGCTCCAATCCCTCAAGAGACATGCATTATACATCCTGGACATTCAAGTGCAACTGTGCAGTATTGGGGTCCCGTCCTTACATGGTTCACAGTGCAATGGAGCAAGAGGACTGAGCAAGCACATGCTAAAATCCCTCAGAGTCCTTATCATCCCTAACCTGGAAGCCAGGTGCTGGGGATGGGACTTTAAGAGGGTGGAGGGATGGCCTGGTCCTGCAGAGGGCTGTACAAGGCCACTGTGGCAAGAGGATGGAAGGCTAGGGCAGAAAAGCCCCGTGAGCCAGGACAAAGATGAGCCACAGAGGAAGCCTCAGGTGACTACTGAGATTCAATAAGGGCTGCGGTCTCTGAAGGAGCCGTCCTTGAACAGGGTGAGACTTCAGTGTCAAAATGAAAGTCTCACTGAAAACCTGCTGTTTAAGCTTGTGGATGAGCAGAGACCTAGGCACTAGCACACAGCACCAAAGCCTGAGGGAGTGCAGTGGCCTGTGACATGTCTCCAGCTCCACCAGGGTGAAGGCGCTACAGCCTGGCACATAGCCAGAGCCCACAGTGTTGTTACACTAGTAGCTCTACACAAGCTACTAGACCAGTTCTACATTCAAGTCACACCCCAGGAGGACCCATCTCTGGCACACCAATGGTACTTTAAAAACTAGGGAACATTTTCAACTTTGGAAATGCAGGACTTTTGAGGTCCTGAGTACTCAGCCTTGACCATTCCACACAGCATGTGACCCAGCACAGTGTCTCGTTTTACTTTCTGGGATAATCTAGTTGCCAAGGCTAGCCCTGAACTCACTTTGCCAGCCAGCTGGCCTATTACTTGCACTACCCCTACTCCTGCGGTTATAGGCCATGCCACCAAGCCCAGCTTCTGACACAGCTTTTAGATGTAACAGCTGGAGATAAAAATTCCCCTGTGCTAACCAGCCAGTGCTATGAAAACCTGAGCCACCCACAGTGAGCAGCACAGGTGGCATAACAGGCTCGATGGGGCATGAGACGCACCTTCCTCAGTTCTTCCTCCACCTTCTGATCTATGGGGTTGGTGCAAGCCTTCTTCCACGTCTGTACTGCAGCCTCCAAAGGCTGTTCAGGTACTTCAGTGTCCTCAAAGTTGACAAAGATGGCATTGTGAGGGCGCCGGGCTCTACTCAGTCCAATCAGGTTCTCGCCTGAGATGGAGGGATTGTGATAGCCTTCCCTGTGGACAGATAGAAGCTTAGATTACCATCCTGGGCAGGCTTGGCCAGGCAGGCAGGTAATCCGGTAGGCCTGCCTCACCTGTAGACCATACACATGTGCCTTTCTCCAAATTCAGTAGAGAGAGGACCCCAGCACGTGCCCTGAGGCTGCCATCAAGGGTGGGAAGGGGCTGTAACTGCCTGCAGTGGCTCAGGGAAACTCTGGGGCCAGTGGCCTTGAAGGAGGGCAAGGCCCCGGAGTACCAGGGGCTGGGGTATGTGAAAGGACACCATCAAAAGGCTGGTGGCCTCCCAACTGTAATTTTATCAGCCTCACACATCATGCAGCCAGTGAAAAGCACACAATCCAAATGCCCATCGGCCACCTATGTGAACAGTGACATGGACTCTGACTATGTACACAACTCACTTCACTCTCAAAATGATCCTTCAAGTAAGTAGTTTCTGAGGAAGTAAGTGAGGCCACCAAGATTAGGAAATGTGCCCAAAGAGGATCTGCTACAGCACCTAGGTTGTAGCCCTAAGAAGCCTGGCTGCAGCCATCCCTGAGCCAACTGTCCTTCCATCTAGCAGACAGTGACTTGGCTCAGAAGCACCTGGACGACACAGGTGAATGAAAAGAATGCAGACAGATGGTACCACCGAAGCCCAGAGATTAAGCTACAGTTCTATCTGTCCACACTCATAGTGTCCAACACAAGAGGAGCCCATGTGAACTGCACCTGTGTGGGGATGTGCCCTGGAGCAAACAGACCACTTTGTATGTGTGCATGGGAAGAGGTGAGACGTGTCCTCATACACTGAAATATAAATCTCTATACCTTCTTCAGTTTGCCATGACCCTTAAACATTGTTTTAAAGCACACAAACTCTGTATGTATCAGACATGCCCAGGTGGGTGGCTGCAGAAGCAGTGATTGCCTAATTATTTAAAGGGCAGTCATGAGAAACAGCAGAGGCAGTGACGGTAGAACTTCCATGTGCATATCCTCAGCTTCAGCAGCTACTGCCACACATAGGCCCCTGCTTCCTCCATTCCAGGCCACCCCCACAGCACTTCAAAGTGCATTTTACTCTATGTCTAGGATGTCACAATCCCATTTGTAGTCATTGTTTTTTTCCATTTGTTACCAAAACTTTTAAAATATGCTTATTTTTATTTATGTGTATGTGTTTGTATATTTATGCAACATGTTATATGAGTTTTATGGAGGTCAGAAGTTGTGAGCCACCTGATGTGGGTTCTGGGACCCAAACTCTGGTTCTCTGGAAGAGCAACAATGCCCATAACCACTGAGCCACCTCTCTAGCCCCTTTATCCTTTTTTAGAAAACAGCCTGCTGCTATGAACCCAGGCTGGTCTAGAATTCCTAGACTCAAGCTATCCTCCTAACCTCATCCAGTTTGCACTTTCCCCTACTTTTCTACATGAGTACATATCAACTGCAAACAAAAAAGCAAAAAATTAACAGATGGTTTTTACACTGACAAACAGAATATGATACATGGGGTCAAGTCAGTTTTTTCCAAATGTGCCTTTCAGGAACCATCCCAGGTAGGAACAACACTATCCTGCTTTAAAGACCTCCCAGAGCCCCTAGCACCATCAAGAAGGAAAGTAGGTAACTGGCCTTCATTTCAGAGAGGAGACTAAAGGGAGGGTGCCGTGGCTGCCTCTGCTGCTCATCCACAGCCTCTGACTAGCTCTACTGACCACAGTGATTCTAGGTCTGTGCAGAACTGCTGGTAGGAGCAGCCAGGGCTCACCACCCTGCAGCCTCCCCTCTTCAGTCCCAGCATATAGGACACTCAACACCTAGGTAGACAGCCAGGGACCCCTCTCCCAGGAAGGCCAGCTATGCCCAAAAATCAACAGTGCCTGGGAAGAAAGGCAGGTTATTTTCATGTGCTGGGAATCTGCCCAATCACACAACGAAGAAAAAGGGTCACACTTATGGGCCCAAAGACAGCTGGCCCCAACCCATGACCTACGCCAGAGGCTGGGACCAGCTGCCAGCCAGAGTGTAGCACAGGTGTTTTACTTTCTTCTGTGTGTTGTTTTTTCTACTACAGGTGTAACTTTCTTTGTGAGAAGATAAAAACACATCAGAAGTATGTAACTTTGAAAAAGCAATGAGGCAGCCGGGCAGAGTGATGCACAGCTTTAATCCCAATACTTTGGAGGCAGTGGCAGGCAGAACTCTGTGAGTTCCACACTAGCTTGGTCTACATAGTGAGTTCCAGGACATCTAGAGCTACATAGTGAGACCCTTTCTCAAAAAAACAAAACAAAAAGCAACGAGGGATGGTGGCTTGGTGGATAAAGGTGCTTACTGTCAAGTCTGATGATCCAAGTGACCTGAGTTCAAACCAGAGGACACACAAAGTGGAAGGAGAGAAGTGATTCCTACAAGCTGTCCTTCAATACCTGCACTATGGGACATGCATGTCCAGATGTGGACGCACATGCATGCATGCACATGCACACATGCGCAGACTAAATAAAGATAAATGTAACAGAAAAAGTTTAAGAAAAGAGCAATCATACCCAAAACAGGCTTAACACTCTCATGCTGGGCACACTGCACATGCAGTGAGCTGTCCTCCATTAGTAAGGGGTTCTGGCAGGGAGGCAATGGTACTTATTCTTTTTTGGCTGTATCTTTTCATACTTGTTTTTTCTTAACAAGTACACTTACTCTCATAATCCCAAAAAACAAAAACAAAACAACAACAACAAAAAAACACGGCAGAGGAGTGGACAGGAAAACAACAGACTAAATAGCTTTGAAAACATCAACACTGAGCACCATGTAAGCCCTTGTAGGGCACCTAAGCCTTTTTCCATTTTGTTTGTTTTGGTTTTTTGAGACAGGGTTTCTCTGTGTAGCCCTGGTTGTCCTGGAACTTAATCTGTAGAACAGGCTGGCCTCAAACTCAGAGATTCATTTGCCTCTGCCTCGCAAGTGCTGGGATTAAAGGTGTGTGCTGGCACTGCCTGGCTACTTTTTTTTTTTAAGTCAGCTCAGAGTGGCCTTAAAACTTGCAACCCTCAACTTTGTGAGCACTGGGATTATCAATGTGTGAACCTATAAAGGTTTACTTGCTCCTGGCTTAAGTGAGTGTCCTGCCTCAGCTTTCTCGGTAATTGGAGTACAGGTATACACTACTCTAGTTCACAGTAGGGTTTTTGTTTTGCTTTGTTTTATTTACTTTTCGAGACAGGGTTTATCTGTGTAATAGCCCTGGCTGTCCTGGAACTGACAGAGATCTGCCTGCCTCTGCCTCTCAAGTGCTGGGATTAAAGGCATGTGCCACCACCACCCATCATAGTATTTTTTTGTTGTTGTTATTTTAAAAGATTTATTTACTTACTTTTACATATATGAACACTCCTATCTGTATGTACACCTGCATGGCAAAAGAGGACATCAGATCATGTTATAGATGGTTGTGAGCTACCATGTGGTTGCCAGGAATTGAACTCAGGACCTCTGGAAGAGCAGACAGTGCTCTTAACCACTGAATCATCTCTCCAGCCCATCATAGTAAGTTTGGTTTGTTTTTTTTTTAATTTAGTACTTATACAGTATTCTCCCTGCACTCCAGCAGAGGGCACCAGATCTCATTACAGATGGCTATAAATCACCATGTGGTGGCTGAGAATTGAACTCAGGACCTCTGGAAGAGCAGACAGTGCTCTTAACCTCTGAGCCATCTCTCCAGCCCCATCACAGTAGTTTTTAAAGCATAGAACAATAACACTTTTTGGGTTGAGACCTAAGCCTGCTGCTGCAGCCTAGAGACCAAGAGACCTTAACCCTAGCCCCTGGCTTTGGAGGTGGCAGAATCTCACACTTCTTCTACACTGGGCTTCAGGTTTGTTCTAGAATGTTTTCTCTGAAGCCTCTCTTGATCTGCTCTTCTATCACTCGTTTCTACTACTTGCTCCTTAATGGCCTTCCTGAGCCCCTCAGCCCACCCACACAATATCTTGAATGCACCCAACAACATTTGCTCACATTCTGTCCTGCTTCCCAGCCTCCAACCCAGAGCAAAGCCTTCCTGCCATGTAGACTGCCAACACCAAGCTCTAAGCCTGGGTCACCACAGGATTCTGTCAGGACTTGGCAAGAGTTTCTGTCCTTCCCCCTCTCAAAATGGCCATCCTGGGCACAGCTTCTGGACCATCCCAGGCTTCTGCTCTCCCTCGTATTGCCTTTGTTTCTGTGCTGCAGTATCTGTTCCAGCACCTGCTGTCTTCACAGGGCACAGAACCCACTGTGTGCCACGTCAGCATTCAATCTTCTGCAGGTTGCACACAGCCAGCCAGAGTCTCCTTAAGGCAACCAGAGCCCAACTGCAGGCCGGCCTTCAACCTCTGGCTTATCTGTGTACTGACCTGCTTCCCAAGGCTTCCTCCACTGAGCGCCAGCTATTGGCAGCACTTGGCTCAGGCCAGGCCCCAGGGTATAGCAGAGAATAGAGGCAGCCAGACCACTGCTTCTGGGAAGCATACAACACAATAAGAAAGCCTGTCTTTGTGTACATAATTTTAAAAGGTGCTAGGCATAGTGTCTAAAGTCTATGATCCCGGCACTTGGGAGGCTTACTTAGAGTTGCTGTGAGTCTGAAGCCAGCCTGGGCTACAGAGACAGATTGTTTCTCTAGACATCACAAGCATAAAAATAAGACAGGGTGAGACTGAAGCCTAAGTACAGCCCAGGGATTGGGCAAGGCTAGGCTCAAAGCTTGCCATGTGGTCTGTAGACCCCAAGTCTCATCTACCTTCTTTGTAAAATGGGGATGACAGGGAACTGGCAAATTGTTGAGACCAAATGCAGATTCAGCACTTCCCCACAGCTGGTGACTGTTAGTAATCTCATATTGAGACTGCTCAAATTAATTTCTTCCACATGAGTCAGTCCTGGCTCTTATACAAAGGGCCTCTTCTTCCCCTGTGTCAATCTGCGGCTGCCTCCAGAGAACATTGACATCCAACAATGCCGAGGACCTGCCTTTCCAACAGCCACAGGCTGCCCTCTCTGTCCAGACTGTGGGAAAGGACTCATCTCACTTGAGTTGCACGTGTCCTTATTAGGACTTTCAGAGCCCTCAGTGGAAGAGATAGCCACCACTGATTCTGGGACCCCCAGCACCCATCCTCAGAACACAGCCACATACTCAGTGAGGAAGACTCAGGGACAGTCACAGTCAGCTTGAGGGACACTGGCAGACAGGGAAGGGGCAAGTGGGACAAACGAGCTGAGGTTCTTTAGGGAGATGGTGGAGGCTGGGATACAGAGCTAACTATGAACTCTGCTGGGACAAGAACCAGGAGGCTGTGAGGGGGGCAGAGGTAACAAAAAGGCCTGGGTTGGAGTGGGATGCTTGCACATGGCATTTCACAGGTAATGTCATTATTAGTAATTGCAAAGTCCAAAGAGAGGCTGGTCAGTAATGACCAGGGGATTGAAAGCAAAGAGACCATGTCTTATCAGTAGCCCTCACATCCCTGTATGTTGGGAGTGATGCAGTCTATGATTACCAGGTCACTGCTGAGAACACTCGCCTTCTGAATGTAATCCTGATGCCTTGGCCCCAGGCCTTCTGCTGCACTGGGGTTGGGGTGAGGGGTCGGGGGCTACCTACCGGTGCTGTGTCTCAGGTCGATAGAAATAGTCCACAGGAGTGTCGAGGCGGGAGAAGATGGGCGGTGGGATGTAGAGTGGCAGCTCCTGGTGGAAGAACTCTTCCTTCTCAGGCTTGCGCATGAGCACTCTGTCATACATGGACACATGCTTGCCACCTGCTTCTGTGTGCACTGCCAGATACTGAAAATCAGACATTCCTGGAAAGACAAAACAGATGGAGACTCTCACTCAGGCTCTGGCACCCAAATCCTCTCAAGAAGGTGCTGAGTGAGCTATGTAGCACCCTCTGATGGGTTTGTAAATCAGTGCAGTAAGAATGGTGTGGGGGAGATGAGGAGAGCCACGGAACAGCAGGGTAAAGTCCAGGGAGCTAATTCATAAAACAGTGTACCCCTGCTTACAGTACAGTATTTCCACCATGCTACAGGGGCTGCTGGTTTAGGGCCACACTATACAGTAGGGTACTGTCTCAATTAGAGAAATACATAAGGAAGCACTCTCCCTCTGGAAAGACAGTCCCCATGGTGCATGCTCATCTACCAGGATGACCTGCATCAGTGCCCAGCTGAAGGCATCCCAGGTTTAGGTCTCATTCTCCTTTCCTTTTGTTTTGCGTTTGAGACATGATCTTCCTGTAGCCCAAGCTGACCTCAAACTCTTCTCCCTCTCCCTTTTTCTCTTTGGATTTCCCTTGTCTCTTCTCATTTAGTCTCCTCCTTAGGGCAGCAGCCATGTCTAAGGTGTACCGATCACTTGCCAAGCACCTCCCACAAGCTCTTTAGCACACATCATCTCTGTGAATCTTCTCCAGGGTCTGATGAGCTCTTGGCTGCGCAGCCCCCAGTGCACAGACAAGAAGACTGAGGCAAAGAGAAGCTAAAGCACCTCACTAAAGAAACTGGTGAGGGGGGGCTGGAGAGATGGCTCAGTGGTTAGGAGCACTGACTACTCTTCCAGAGGACCCAGGTTCAATTCCCAGCACCCACATGGCAGCTCACAACTGTCTGTAATTCCAAGATCTGACACCCTCACACAGATATACATGTAGGCAAAACACCAATGCACATAAAATATAAATAATTATATAAAAAAAGAAACTTTTAAGTGGGGCAGCTAAACGTAATCATATACACGTATGTAGTCATATGCATGTTTGAAAATGTTACAATGAAACTCACCTTATATGCTAACAATTAGGGCCCAGCAGGCACAATGTCAGAGTAATACTCTTTAGCCCTGACTCTCCATTTACTGCCTTTCTGCTTCCTCCTGGATTCTGAATGAGGAGCCTACACTCGGCATCCTATTCAAAGAATCATAAGGTACCATGGAACACAAGTCAGTTGGGGGATGAAACAACAGCAATCATGACTTACTGTGCCACAGTGCTGCAATCTCAGCGATTGGGAGGTTGATGCAAAGGCTTGATGAGCTTAAGTGTTTAAGGACAGCGTGGGAGAAGGTTTCAAAACACTAATCTCAGACTAGAGATCTGACCACTAGTTTGATCTGGCCCCAAACAATGACTTACCTTCCCTTCCACCCCAAGACAGGGTTTCTCTGTGTAGCCTTGGCTGTCCTAGACTTGATCTGTAAACCAGACTGGCCTCAAACTCAGAGATCTGCCTGCCTCTACCTCCCCAAGTGCTGGAATTACATGTATGCACCAATGCACCTGACTACAATAACTTATCTTAAAACTGAAAAGTTTCTCACTGAACTCTAGATTCCTAGCTTCTATTTTTTAAATATTTATTTTATTTATTATGTATACAGTGTTCTGCCTGCAGGCCAGAAGAGAAGAGGGCACCAGATCTCATTATAGATGGTTGTGGGCCACCATGTGGTTGCTGGGGATTGAACTCAGGACCTCTGGAAGAGCAACTGGTACCCTTAACCTCTGAGCCATCTCTAGCCCTCCTAGCTTCTAATGAGTATAAAAGGTCGGGGCTGGAGAGATGGTTTGGGGTTAAGAGCACTTCCTGATTTTCCAAGGACTCAAGTTTAGTTCCCACATCAGATGACTCACAACTGCTTATAATTCCAGCTCCAGGGGACTGGACACTCTTTCCAGATATTTACAGGTACATGTGGCCTATACACACATAAAACATGTGGCCATAAAAACAGAAAATAAACTCATTAGAAGAGAGGAAATCCAGGTGTGGTGGTGCATGCCTTTAATCCCAGCACTCAGAAGGCAGAGGTAGGCAGAGCTCTGTAAGTTCCAGGTCAGCCTGGCCTACATAGAGAGCTCCAGGACAGCCAAGTCCATGCAGAGACACCCTGTGTGCTGGACAGTTTATATGGGACTGTGAGTAAAACAAACTCTTTTCTCCCTAAGTTGCTTTGGTCATGGTGTTAAATCACTGTGATGGTAACCCTAACTAGGACACGCTATCTTGGGGGAGTGGGAAGGTGAGGAGGAAGGAGAAAGGAAGGAAGGAAGCGAGAGAGAATGAAAACAAAAGGTTGCAAGGCAGTGTACCCACAATCCACAAGGGACTGCTGACTGAAGAGGCTGCTTCCACAGTGGGAAACGGCTCTGTCAGGCATGGGCACACCCTACCCTACTTTACACGTGGCTCTACAGCAAGCCCTGAAATCACCCCACTAGAGATGCTATAGTTACCCTGGAATTTGTAAATTGTAGAGATGGTGCCAAGGATTTCTAAGTCGAATGTGACCTGGGGATGGGCCTCATCTCCCAAGACACTTCTTCGCCGCCTTGTTCTTTTCCTGATCTGGAGTAGCAGGCTGCTGGTACTGAACCGGTTAGCACACACAGGGTGGCAGTATGGGTCCTTGGGCCGGAAGTAAAGCTCAAGCCTCTTGGTAGGGTCGGTGTAGATCTGCAGCAATGCCAAGAGAGACAGGGGGAAACAGTAAGCAGCTAAGCATACAACAGAGCACTGTTCCTCTTCCCACAGAGCCTAGCTGACAGTGACGCAGGAAGGGCCAGAAGGTACATGCTCCACTTCCAGCTCTTCGTTCCCATTGCACTCATTTTAAAAAATTTACTCTTCTCTCATAGATTACATCTTGAATGCAGTTTCCCCTCCCATCTTCCCGAGATCCACTCCTCCGTTTCTCTTCAGAAAAAAGCAGGCCTCTCAGGGATGTCAACTGAACATGACATAACAAACTACAGTAAGACTAAGCACAAACCCTAATATCAAGGCTGGGCAAGGCAACCCAAGAGGAGGAAAAGGGTCCCAAACAGAGGCAAAACAGCCAGAAACAGATCTGCTCCCACTGTTGGGAGTCCCACAAGAACACTAAGCTACATAACCGTAACATACAGAGGACCTAGGTCAAATCCCTAGTGTTGGGGATTAGAGGTCTGACCACCACCACCCAGCTTCATTAGGGCTTAATCACATACTTAATAATTTTTTATAAAACGAGGGAATTGTACAGATATTAGTACAGAGGTGAACAAGTGAAGTCTCAGCTCTGAGTTTATATTCCCAGGGCCCAGG